TCGAGGAGCCTGCGCTAGCATCTACCCGCCAGACCGAAAATCTCAGTCGTTTCAAGGCGGTAATGGAGATTGGCCTTCATGTCTTCCCAAACTCTGAGAACTACATCCCAAGCAAAGGAGCGCCAGTGCATGTCTGCGATCTTGACCGCTACCAAAGAAGAGATTTTCGACTTGTCAACGTTCCCGGAGCTGTACACTTTTCAGCGACCTACGGGCGCTGTCAGAGTGTGCAGGATTCTTGTCAAAGACAAGAGTGATGCCAGATCACCGGTGCTTCAGCCCTTTGTAAACTTGCCACGAATTGGTTCAGTTGATGATTGTTGCTTGGAGGAAAAGATATGCAACAGCGAAAAGGATGCGACCGAACTCGGTAATATCGTCTGTGATATTATGAACAAGGTGCCCCACGATCTGCCTGGCGCATAGGCTACCATCATTCCCTTAACGCATTTGAGGTATTGGTCGAGATAACAGTGTCACTTCGTTAGAAACCCGATCTTGACTTCAAGGCAGACAACGAAGTTTGGATCAATCAGAGCATGGAAACAAAACTGTACATTTACATATTCGATCTGTTCCATAGCCAACGCCGCGAGAGTGTTAAGCTGCTCTTTGCAGTCTTCGTCAACCGTTGCGACTTAACTCATGGACGGGCTTTTTGTGCCTGGAAATGATGTCGTAAATCTCGATCTCATTCTTTATTTAGCAGTGTCGCGGAGAGTTTTCAATAACCAGCTCAACATGTCCACTTCCTGTCGTCGTGTTTGGGAAGGTTGGAGATATTTTCTGGGAGGAACGTTGGACGACGTCGGTGCCTCGGCCAAGCCGGCCCAACGCTCTTGCCTACTTCCACGTTTCAACGTGTCCTCCTCGTTGGACGACAGTTGCGATCGTGGAGTGTAGCTTCTACCAACGTCTTCTCTCGACGACATCATCTTGCCTTCATTTGTTTATCGCATTTCGACGAGTCCCTGACATGGGGGCGAGGCCAATTCGAGCCACTCTATCTCTTCTTCCATTTCAATCCGCGGCGATTGACACGAGGCGCCAAGTGCCAGTGCGGGCCTACTCCAAAATTGCGGCAGGATGCGTCGCTAAAAATTGTTAGGGTTTCGTAAGATCCAATTTGCAGACGGGAGAGCGGAACCCTGCACTCAGTGATCGTCAGGTACATCGCGAAGGATGCGGAGGCGGTCGAACCGATACTCCAGATACCTCTTCGAAGACATTGGACTGGGCAAGAAAACGAATACTGGAAGTGTATGTACTAAGCAACAGAAGCCGCATCCAAGATACAGACATGTCTCCTGTGTGAGTCGTAGCTGTCAAACCTTACCCGGTTCAGGCGCCGACGTCTCAAGTTGAGACAAATTTTTCACACCCCACATAAGCCATCACCACGATACGAATCCTTTGTAACTCGCACCGTGGGTAATTTTGATGTCCGCCTTCCGTTCAGGGCGGCCCTATCTGGCCCTCGTGCGTCAGAGGTGTGCGGATACGGGTCTAATTATGTTTCCACGCGGATCCGTCCATGCTAGCGCAGGTACGGTTCCTTGGGCGAATTGGCTGCAGATCAGTCTCGTCCATAAACATGCGACTTCCCGGCTGCTCAAACAGCTCTCTTTACTCTTCGTCTTCTTTCTTCTTCCCTTGATCGAATATTCTTCCCGTTATACTTACGGGACTGTCTTTCGTTAATACTAACCTTTGCCGACTATTCGGCTTCCACTCGTTATGAGATCCTTTATCCCGGCCCTCATCGGCCTTGCAACGGTCGCCGTTGCTCAAAACAGCACGGTTGACTGTGTTACCGCCTTCTCAAAGTGCTACTCCTTCGATTTGTCCAACAGCGGCGCATGCGAAGGAGAGGCATCTCACTGCAAAGATGCATGTTCGCAGCAGAACGCTTTTTGCCTCCAGAAGGGAAAGGCTAGCACAGAATGTCAGTCCAGTTACGATCAGTGCGTTGGGGCGGTCTCTTCGTCTGAGGTTTCCATCTCGTGCATTTCTTCCATTCTCCGAGAGAACTGTTACACCGGAAATTCTTCAAACGATCATGTTTGCGACTCAATGATCGGTGAATGCAAAACCGCCTGCAGTGCTGTAAGATAACATTCTATCGTTCGGGTGTGTGAGTTTATGCTGATTATGACTTGCAGGTACGAGACTTGTGTCTGTCGTCGGGTGGTGCAAATGAGAAGCTTTGCTCCGACAAGTACACCGAGTGCCTCGGAACCAATGAATTTTCCGCCCCTGCTGTTTCGTGTATCAAGGCCGCTGAACAAGCCTACCTGAACGGTACTGCTGAAAACACGGTGGGATCTATTACTGCGACTTGTAAACAGACGTGGTAAGTAAAAAGCAGCCGGACGAAACTGCAATAGCTAATTGTGTATAGTGGTGTCCTTCTCGACGCATGCCAGGCAAACGGTGAAACCCCTGAATGCCAGGCATCCTATGTCACTTGTCTCCAAGGCGACTTGGAGCAGGGTTCTCAGATCAACTGTGTTTCGGTACGTCCTCTAGCGTCGGGTTTATATTGCCTACTGACTCGCATCAGGCCGCTCAAACCTGCTACGGTAACGGCACTGCAGACAACGGTAATTCCGCTGCCTACCAATGCTCGCACTTCCACTGACTTTTGATGATAGAATGCTCTCGCCAGACAGCCTCATGCAAGAATTTATGCGCAAACGTTCGTGAAGATCCACCAACTCTATCCATGAGGACATCCCATTAACATATGCCCAGGTATTCGACACCTGTAACTCGAGCAACGACAGCAGCACGAAGGCTTCTTGTTTGAACTATTACTCTAGCTGTGTGGGAGCAACAACCGTTTCGAACAGCACCGTTGATTGTGTTGCTCAGCAAGAGCAATGCTACCTCGGTAAGTTTTGATCCTTATTACCCTGGATGTGTGACACAGTAATACTGATCTTGACACTCCAGATGGAAATGAGGTCAACGCTTGCGATGCACAGAATGCGCAGTGCAAAGACTACTGTTCGAACAGCTTAAGCACCTGCCAGTCAACTGGCGACTCGAGCGTCAAAGGACAATGTATCAACAACTATGAGTCATGCCTAGGCGCGAACAAGCTCCAGGAGCCCGTCATCAACTGCGTTGCTGAGAACGACGTGAGTACAGTCTATTAAATGAACTGATATCGATGCTGACACATGAAGGCCTGCTACCTTGCCGGCAACTACACCGACGCTCAGTGTGATTCCAAGAACGGTATGATCTCTGATTCATGTATCTTGAAACAATACTGATTTAATTCTAGCTGTCTGCAAGACCGTTTGCTCAAGAGTACGCTATCTGAAGATTCGAGAACGGAAAAAGATCGTTACTAAGTTTCGTTTAGTCCCAGGATACCTGCCTCTCTGGAAACTCGTCTTCTGTGGTCGCTGGCTGCAACGTAAGTCAAATATCGAATCTCAACTCGAACTACATGATACTGACTGTCTATCAAGGCACACTATAATCAGTGTCTTGGCGGGTCGCGTGTGACCCCCGTCTCGCCCGTCTCTTGCGTTGAGATTGCCACCAAGTGCTTCCTTGAAGGAACCGGTATGTGGGAACATTCGAGTCACAGCCGAGAACCTAGCTAACAATTCCAAGCGAGCAACGACTGTTCCGCTTTGACGGCGACTTGTAAATCAAGCTGTTCGAGATCGCAAGACACTTGCTTGAGCTCGAACGATCCCTCGGTCCGCTCAGGTTGTGATGCACACTATGCTACATGTTTGGGTGCAACCCCTCAGGCCGAGGAGGCTGCCCAGAACATCAACTGTATCAAGAGATACACTGCTTGCCACTCTCTCTCGAGCTTGATTCCTGACAACGAATGTCAAATGCAAAACGCCGATTGTCAGTATACCCTATCTTTGCCTCTAGAACATCACTAACCCTAAATTCAGGCAAAAACACATGCTCGCAACTTCTGGACTCTTGTGGCTCGAGCAGCGGTAACGCTTCGACCTCCGCTCAGTGTCAAGGTATGATTAAAATCAAGAGACTAATCAACAAAGGCTTCAAGATGCTGACAGCACTTCAGGTGTTTACAATGGCTGTCTTGGAAGCCTGCCTACAAGCCTGGTCGACTACGAGCCTCTGGATTGTGCTGGCCGTAGAACCGCGTGCCACATGACCAACGCAACATCGGCAGAGTGCGACAGACAAGACGCAATCTGTGGCAATGCTTGCGCAACTACCCTCGACGACTGTCTTGTTTCTGGCACTTCCGACCAAGCTGCATGCAACCACCTTTACATGATTTGCCAGAACAAGGACAACTTCAAGGTCACCAGCATTCCCGCCAGCCTGAAGCCCACCGTCAGCATCCCCTCCGTCAACGCCACTACCAAGGCTACTGCTGCCCTGACCACCGGTCCTGCATCTGGCGCTTTCTCCACTGGAGCCAACTTCGTTCCTGGTCCTTACAACAACGGTAGCGCTTCTACTGCTGGTGCTCAATCTGGCGCCGTCTCGGTTGCAACTTCCACAGAAAGCACTGTTTACGTCACTGACGTCGTCAAGACTACCGTTACTACATGCCCTGTTGGTCAAACGTAAGCTTGATTCATGTTCATGTTCATATTTCTTCTTTTGAGGTTTTCTAACAATATCTCAGCATCACCTCTGCCGGCTCTACCACTGTTTTGACCGCTCCCTCTGTCATGACCACCGCTATTACGGTGAAGAGCACTGTTTCGACTACCCAGGTCCACACCATTACTGTTCCTGCCGCTGGAAACAACGCCGTACCTTCTCAGGCTTCTACCGTCTATGTCACTGATGTCGTCAAGGAGACAGTCATCACATGCCCTGCTGGACAAACGTGAGAGATCTCCTTGCCATACTTTTGTCCAAACCGACTAACAGTTCCTAGTATTACTGCTTCAGGCTCCACCACCGTGCTTACTGCCCCCTCTGTGATCACTTCTCAGATCACTTCCAAGAGCACCGTTACCGCTGTTCTGACTCAGACCATGGTTCCTCAGTCTTCTCCCGTCAGCCCCGAGCAGACCACCCCTGCCTCGGTTGATGGTCACGTCGCTATCCCTTCGACCGTCACTCTTTACAGCACCAAGATTGCCACAATCGTGAGCTGCGCTCCTGACGTCACTGATTGTCCCGCACGCGAGTCGACCACAGTCTTCCCTACTGCCATCACCGTCTCCAGCGTTTGGTCTCGTACCTCGTCTGTTCCCGCTGGTTCCTCGCCCGCTGGTTCAGCTCCTGCCGGATCATCCCCTGTCAGCCCCGAGACTACTTCGGCTCCTGTCTCCCTTGTACCCTCCACAATGTTCTACTACAGCAGTTCGACCGTGACCGTTTCGGGAACCTCGACCATTGTTCAAGTCATCCCTACCAGCTACGCCGTAACCAGCGTCGCCTCTTCATCTTGGGTCCCCATTGAGTACACCAGCCCCGCTGCCGGTGTTCCTCAGAACTCGGCTTCCGCTGTTTCTGCCCCTGCCCCTATCGTTCCTACCTCCGCTCCCTACGCCGTCACCAACAGCACCATGATGTCTGTTGGTGGTCCCAAGGGAACCGGTATTGTTGGAACTGGCTCTGGAAGCAAGACCACCTCGACCTACTCGCCTTCTCAGTACACTGGTGCCGCCAACAAGGTCGGTGCCGCTGGTCTGGCTGGTGTCGCCGCTTTCGCTGCTTTCCTTCTGTAAGAAGTGTTAATAACCTGTACGAGGTTTGTCGATTTGAGGCGCTGCGTTTAATATTCTCTACCACCACTATTTTCCTTTTTCCATTTCCTATCTTTTGTATATACGATCTACCTATTCTTTAGCCTGATAGTAGGCTCCTTTTGTACAAAACACCAGTCTGACCTCTGAAGAGTTACTCGTATGTTTGAAATCACTCTCAAGATACTCGCGAGATGTTGATCGCCGCAGTTTATTTGCCGCTTTCTCTTTCCATCCTCGGCGGGGCTTCATCGTCGCGAGTGCCAACTTTGAAGCTTCCTTTACTTTTCTGAACCGCTCAGTTTCGTTGCTGTTTCCTTCCACGCTTTTTCTACGAATCCTGCTCTTCGCTTAGCGAATAATCCACCCCCAATCTGAAAGCCCCAGCGCGAAGACATGGCGGCTAGTCAATCAGCTCGACCGTCGGGCGCTTAGGCAACGCGCCGAGCGATGGATATGGTTGGCGCGCCAGAGACCACCAGCAGCCTGTTAATATGTCTGCGACCTACCTCACGCATGCATCAATCGAACCAGCAGATCGAGTCACTAGGATGGGACGATCCCCGTCTTCGACTGGGTATAACTCATGGAATCTCCTAGCATCGAATCGAAGTATCATTCATCTTTCTACCTTTCTAGTCCATTCTCAACGACTAGCTAGTTGGAGGCTCAAGATGTCTCTCATGCTTTTGATCAGCTTGTTCTACCTCAGAGCTTACGCAGGTGTTCCAAGATCACTCTACTTTGATACGACTGTTGGTCCTGATGGTGAGCTTGTGAAGAGAGACAATCTTCATAATAGACTGACTGGCGACGAACANGGTCCTTGGAATGCGTTAGTCCAAACAGTTTCATGGCCACAACAAGTATGTATAGGAAGTAACCGTCTCGAGACAAAGTACTGATCATCAATGTCAAGNAACATCACCCTACTCCCTTCATTGACAACGACCAACCTATGCGTCCGCTCAGACGTGTGCTCCGATTCTCAAAGTGCTTGTCCTCAACCACAAACAGGTCTTTGGACTAGATCGAAGGGTACATGGTCCTGGATGAACAGTACAGTCTTCGACGCCTCGACGTGGGACGCTTCTCTCGGTCCCTTGAATCTCTCTGGCCAAGCAAGTTATATAAGCGATAGGATCACACTCGAAGGTCCTGGAGAAGGTAACCCGTTCCTTGACTTCACTGCCAATGCTGTTGATCAAGGCATCAACGTCAACTTTCCATCACGAACTACATGGTATACAATGGATGCAGGATTCTTCTCACTGTATGGCGCAGGAAGGCACATTGATTACACGTCGGTCAATGGCAGTGAAATTTCACTTAACACCACATTGCCCTTGGCGTATGCGCAGGATGCCATTCCATCTCTATTCTACAGTCTTCATATCGGTTCAGCTTCTGCTTCAGTTTCAGTGCCCGGGAGTCTTGTTCTCGGAGGATACGACAGATCCAGATGTCTCACAAATCCAATAATATCGGATACGGACGTTTTTGATCTGACTGATATTGGCTTGGGTGTTGCCAGCGGAGACTCTCCGTTCCCGAAAGATCAGCAGCTTCCAGCACGTAGGCTTCTCCAAAATGATGGAGCCAGCAGCATCAGAGCATATCCCAATCCAGGTGTGCCATATCTATATCTACCCCAGGAGACTTGCGATGCAATCACAGCGCATCTCCCGGTGGAGTTCAACAAAACTCTGGGCCTTTACACCTGGAACACATCGGCACCTTCTTATCAGGACATCATGACTTCAACCTCGTATCTCTCCTTTGACCTCAGGTTTGGAGCATCGACAAGTACAATATATCTGCCATTCGCTTTGTTGAATCTCACCCTCGAGTGGCCCCTCGTCGAGCTTCCAACACAATACTTTCCTTGCTCGCCGTATCGATCCTCTGATGGCAAATTTCATCTTGGCCGCGCCTTTCTCCAAGGAGCTTTTATGGCGCAGAATTGGCAAACAGGGAAGCTGATGCTCGCTCAGGCACCTGGACCAGATATGGCAGATACTTCTCTAGCCACAATATCTGCTAATGATACTTCGGTTTCCTCTATGATCAAGGCTCCATCGTGGGATTCCACTTGGGCTTCGAAGCTAAAGCCATTTCGTCGCAACGGAACCTCAGCTTTGGGACACATCCACGATACGACTACTGGTTTGTCGCCAGGAGCGAAAGCAGGCATTGCTGTTGCTGTGCTAGCTATGGTAGGATTTATTATTGGAGTATCTTGGGTCTGGTTTCGACGAGTCAAGACAAGGGTGGCCCAAATTGAAGATGAAAAGGGCATGTCAGAACATGTGGAGGTTGCCAAGAGTGAATTCACAGCATCATCGCAACTCTGCGAGGTATGGGCACCTGGAAAGCATGGGCTAACAGTAGATCCCGTCGAGATGGATTCCGCTGGTATCAATGAACTTCATGGCACATCGATTGATGTAAGTAAGGTGAGTGAGACTCGGATATGAAAGTGGCTCCTCAACATATACATGCTTGTGTACATAGATCACCTGGCAAGTGTAAAAGCTCAATAGCTAGGATTTGTCTCGATTGAAAGAGCAAACCAATTTATGAATCTCATCTATGATGACGGCAGTCACCAATCTGCTGACTGCCAGATCCGCTGAGAGCAAAGCCACCTCTTCTTGGTTTCTCCTCTTTGTTTCTGTATCTTACATCCACCTTCAGGATGTGTGCGTTTCTCGAGTACTCAAGCATTGTGTGACGTTGAAGTTGTTCTATAATTTATTTGTGCTAAAGATACATCGACGCGACTCGAGAAGTGTTCCTAGCCACAATTTGTGCCTCCAGAAGCAGCAAATACAAGATTTAGCTCGAAGTAGTTGTTGACCAATTGAACAAGGGAGTACCGTTGCATTGAAATCTTTGTTTTTTTTTTTTTGTTTCGTTATAAGGAAGAAAGCTGAAAGCAGAAGGAGTATACAAACGGAAACCACAACCAGACCCTGCTGCCCGAAACTTGAAACTCCCCGCGACAATGATATCGCTCTCTCATTACCCTTATTCGAACCAATTATTCCCTCCAACGAAAAGCAACAAAACACCAAAAATCCAATCCTTTACGATTACAGTCAAACTTGACAAAGGAAAACCACATCATGGAACTTCGTGCTTCTGACTTTCAAAACTCCTTCTTGCTCTCCATTCTCACTTCGTGAGCCAACCGCAGGTGAAATTACTGGGAGCTGAACTTCCGACTGCTTGCTGCTGTTAGACAACACTCTGATTCATCATCTGTCATCTTCGTCGTGATCGAGCTCTCTTCCTCGTGGCATACAATCGCATCTGTGCATCTGGCAAGTATTGGACCGCTGAACATGGGGGCGATCTACTGGCTCGAGGGTGGTATGTTCGTGTTGTTGAGAGAGGATGGTGATGGTTGAACACGGCTTATCGAGACGCGTGACAAGAGCGTGAGCATCTCATCAAGGTCGCTGGCGAACTTGACAAATGCTTCATGTTCGAGTTTCCTAGCCCTGAATAGCTTGGCTTCGAGAAATACCAAACGTTTGTTAAGTCCTGACATATGGAATTCCCACTTTCTGGGGTCTTCGTTGTTGAGTGAATCCCATCGACGTTCGTCACGTTCCACCAGGGTCGCCAGACTGCGTAGATCTCCGAAGGTTCTCTCGTCGTGAGCCCNCCATTCATCAACTTGGACGATCATTGCTCTTTGTCTCACTGAATTGACGCGAACGTTGATTTGTCTGCTGAGCATTGACATCTCAAACCTCTTCAAGCAAGGCGCGCGACCCAATAGGTGGAAAATTTGACTCCATATTGAACCGTTCTCGATAACGATGCCTGAGAGCTTGATGCTCTGGAGGGTTGGTAGACAAGGTCGTATCAGCTCCCAAAGCTGAACGTAACCACTGGAAACCCTTTCGTACACCATACAGTCTGACAGTGTCAGTTTTGTGATGTTTGCTGCTCCCAGCCAAGTAGTGTAGAACAGGCGATAGGTCATGTTCGCAGTAGCCTTCACATGTCCGATTTCGAGTCCGGTCATCTCCAGGGTCTGGCATTTGTGGTCCCAAACCAAGCCAAAGTCGTGGCCGCTCAGCATAGCCACCTTTATTGTGAGTGATTTAGGGTCGGTGGATTGCGGCATCCAGCTACCAACATATTGCACAAATCCAAGTACTGACTCAGGCTCCCCTGGACGTTGTGCAACGTCAAGTTCGATCTTGTCCGTCTTGAGTCCCAGATCTGGTGACCAGAGATGGAGATAACCGAGGGTCAATCCCCTACGTTGTTCAAAAAGATGCGCATTGGGGTAGTGCATCAGCTCTTTCATGCCAAAGCTTTTGCAGTTCCGATCGGTGACCCCGATAGTGATAGTGTTACCATACATGGTCAATTGCTTGGCGATTGTGATTATGTAACTTCTGTAGGCCTCCCACTCAGGGGACATAGGATCGTGGCCGCCAGTCTCGAATGGGCAAGTGCTGTCGAGGTGAATTGCCGGAACGAATTTGCCAAAGTAAGGATGGGAAACGATCTCAAGTAAGACCTCCAGACTGTAGACACTGATGACGTGTTGGCGGCACTTGATGAAGTGCATGATGAACATGGTCATAGCAGCTCTCTCGAACTTCTTACACGTCAGACGAAGCGCAATAATGTCTTTGGGACACGCAAAGTGAGCGACTCGCTCTAGGACTTCATGTGGGAGATCNNCGAGAGATCTAGTCTATGTCAGGAGATGTCAAGCAGCAGCACGCAGTGTATGCTTACCATGACGAAAGAGCTGAAGTCCGTCGAGAAGCTCGTAAAGAGCGCGTCTGGCACGTGGAAGTCTAGTAGCGTGTAACACTGCGCTGACAAGGTCAGGAGAGCCACTGTCGGGCTCCATTCCAACAAGCTTGGGAGTGCCCAGTGTTGTAGTGGCGAGGTAAGGTGATTGTAAGCGAAGCAGAGAACGAGATTAGGCTCAATACACGTGCAAAGGCTTGAGTCGAGTGGAGGTAATGTTCGATGTGACTGTGTGGTGGGCGATGTTGCGGGTGATATTGCGAGCGGTGTTGTGGATGATGTTGAGAGCGATGTTATGGGTTTGAGAGTGATGTTATGGGTTTGAGAGTGATTTTATGGGTTTGAGAGCGATGGTATGGGTTGTTGGATGGTGAACAACTCGAGCACGCGTAGGTTGTAGAGAAAGAATCTTGAATGCAGGATCCGTACGTCGAGGAAAGAACTTGTTTTGATGCCGAGCCACGCTCGACGGTCTGCTTAATTCTCCGTCTCGGTAACCACAACAACAACAACCGACACTCCCTTCCAGGAACACCTGTCGTACTGCAATTGACCGTCCTCACAATCAAGTTACAGAGGGAGCTTGTATCACTGGAGGGAAACTTACTTACAGCTACTCGTGTCCGCAGTTCATGGTCATTGTTGCCCCTGTGACCACATCAGGTGAATGAAATGACTCCTCCGAACTCCATTGTAGGTGATAGTAGATCCCCTTATCATCTTGCTTTTGTGAGCCATTTAGGGGTTGTACGAATGAGATGTTTCTTCTATCGGCCATGGATATGGACCATAAAACCTTCTCCAACCACCGTCTTGAATCCTTAGACAGTCTCTTCAAGACTCCCAAGGTGTTCGCACCTTGGTTGCAGCTCGTTGGGCTGTATTGGCAGTACTTTCTGAGCCAATCTGAGGGATCTCAGAGCACCGATCTTGGGCCCGTAGCCAGTAACGTAGTTGAGTCTACACATACCCCATTCGGCGGCTCTAGAGTCTTGTGTCGCAGTGGTTATCCAGGTCAGAACCAGGATACCACAAAGTACGAGGGCGCTAGGATGACTCTTTTGTTCTTCTACGTCAATCACGTCGCTCAGGCCTTGAACAACGCTTGCCCAGTTATATCGTACTACGAGACGTTCCAAGAGGCAGGTATCGGCTAACAAGCAAGACGGCTCAACAATCCGACTCGCCCAAAGTCTAGGAATGCCAGAACCCGCTGCTTTCTACTCTTGGGAGGGTCGAGAACCATCTACCTATAGAGAAACAAGTGCGTGTTATGCAATACCATGGAGACTCGAGAGACATAGCATGTCTTGAGTAAGGTTCTTTGAGTATCACAGCCTGGACTCATATAATCAGTCAGTGACGCACAAAGAAAGTTGCTTCAGCAGTGTAGATTGAAAAAGCTTTGTTTCAAGAAAACCTAACTCAACACCAGACCCTTTACATACTCGACCCCGTACAAGTCTACCAAGCTCAGCCTACTGGCTCGCAACACGCATATACTTTAGTCCGGCCCATCCGCGAGCAAAGTCTCAAAGGCTCCAAAGAACCCCCTATCATCCTTAGGCAACTCATCAAACCCAAATCTTTTGATCAAGCCAGGCAGATCCTTCTCACTTCCAAGCACCTCTGCAAATCTAGACTTCTCATGCACAACCTCGTATCTTTCCCAATGAGTATATGCCTCAAGCACCTTCTTGTCCAGGTCAACCACCCAAGCCCATTCCATAGAGATGGTATCGGTGAGAAATTCCATGTCCCAGAGATGAATCTTGACCGGCTCTTCTTTCGTAGCTGCGGCCACGATGTCCAGAATATTAGCGCCGGTGTCGCGAGAGAGGGATGGGATGCCGGGCAAAGGCATGAAACTGTGTTGTTCGATTTGCTGGCGATGGAGTTCTTCAAAATAGGCTGTTCGCTCTTCATCGTTGATCAGGGTGATACGATTGTCCTTGCTGTCTAGGGCATCTTGGAGTTATGTGATGTTGGAGGGTTCGAGGAGGAAAGAGAACATTGTGAGCCCTTGGCCGTTGGGTTGACCGTCCCACTGACCGTATTGAATAATGCGGTATTGACCTTTGTAGTAGACGAGAGTGAGGTTACGAGTGCCCATCATGGAGCTTGGAAAGAGTTCAGAGAAAGGTATGGGAAGCTGAACAGGTATCTGATGTGGACATATTTATTGCTATGGGTCGTGATGTGATTTTGCGGCACGGGAAATGGTGATGTAGGCTGCAGGCGCGTCGATGGTTACACAAAGCAGACTTTGGTGCCTTTCGTGTCGTCTACACCAACGCCAGGATTCTCGACTGCAGAGAAGTCTGATGCTGCTGTGACCTAAGGGAAGGCTCCGAAATGAGATACTCTGATGTGCTTTCTATGTGTCACAACCATCGGGCGTGTGTAGTTTTGTGAATGCCAATCTTGCTCTCTGGTGTGTACCCCGTACCTATAGGATGTTCCGGAATGTTTATGGAGGACAGCATGATAATGATTGCTGACAGACGTCTTGGGAAAGTTCAGGCCGACCACGTTTAAATTCCGCGAAAGTCAAGAAAGCCTTCTCGGTCGAGGAGGTCCACAAAGAGATTGGTAAGCTCATCTGGAACCTAAACTAGAGCGTGAGACATTACTGGAAGCATCAGATCTCTTCACTGTCGAGCCTATGTCGAGGACGTGTTAGCTCAACAGATCAGCGGCTTTGGAAGTGTTCAGGATAGAGTTGCACTTCTGAGAGAAAGAGGCCTGTGGAAAAGAAAATATGTGGTCAACTTCTATCTTCTTCTCAAAAACAAGCATAATCGTTCATCAAGACTAAATGTTCGTCCAGAGGGGTGAATTCTTACGTATTGGTAATCCACTTGTGCCGAAATGTGTTTTGCTCTGCAGAAGCCGTTCACGCTGAAGTCAAGGAGAAGATCGTACTCGCTGAAACAGACAACCCATCAACGGCGTCGATTCTCAATGCTTCTCTCTTTCTGTCTTGACACAAGTCTAGTGACAATTTATCAACGAGTCGTGTGACCAACAATTTTGCACGTGAAAAGCATGGAGAGCAAAAGTGCAGAAAAGTAAATGACAATCATGATTTTGAACGAATGCTAAGAGAGATATGAGCTACAGAAAAGCGTGGGAATATGTGCATGATGAAATAAGAACCGAAACTCCTCCAGAACCGCAAGATCAAGCCTTGATGTAGGGAATACCAGTGAGCTTGTAGCCCCTCTCGCTAAGTTGTGGTGCCTGGCGAGGCTTCCATGTGTTGTGGGGATCGGGCTTGCCATCGCGCATTGGCTCCAAGTAAGCCTTGATGAAAGGCTGAAGAGCCATAGGCCAATGGCTGTGACCGTGCTGCTCCTCGAAAAGTTCCTTCTTACGCTTCAGGTCTTCCTGTGTTGCTGTTGAGACTGGCAACATGCAAACGTAGACAACAAATCTGTCAGTGTCCTTCTTGGGCGATGCGTTGTAATGAGGGCAGCGAGAGTCCCAAAGAACAAGGTCACCAGGCTCAGCGTCAACCTTGACCCATTCGTGACCTCTGTCTGCCAACCACTTGAGACCAGTCTCCTTGAAGAGGTACATCTCGTTTGTCCATCTGAATTCGCGGTGCTCGTTTCTGAAAACGTTGTGGTACTCCTCGCTGACCTTGTGGCCACCCTTCAGCACCAGGAGACCACCATCTTCAGGGCCGTTAGGCAGGAGGTTGACGAAACCCTGGACGCAGCGCAGACCACCACGCTCTGGGTCTTGATCTTGGTGAGGCCATGCACCGTTGGCGGGCAGATCCTTACGATTGGCCAGCGAGACATTGACAGCATCGAAGGAACAGATAAGATCCTCGTCCTGGTAGAGCTTGGCAAAGGTATCGATGACAGCAGGCTCAGAGCGGACAGCCCATGTGAAAGACTCGTGAGTAGCACCGTATGCTTGAAGGAGACCCTTTTGGTGAATGATGGGCAGGCACTCTTCGCGGATGGTGGAAGGGTCATTGCGGTCGTAGCCAAGCCCGAAACCTTCGAGCCAGTCCTTGATGTCGTCGGCATACTTGAGAGCCTTTTCCTTCTCAACGACTCCTTTGACAACACAGTATCCATCACGGGCAAGGTCNNTAGAAAGTAAGTATTAGTGGATGCAATGACAGTCTTCCAAAAGTAGAAGGAGCTTACCATCGCGGAAGTCGCCATAGTGCACTGACTCGTCTAGAACATTGAGAACAGGAGTGTCGTGGACAACGCAAGGCGGAATGGCGTGAACAGTGGTCTTGGGGTCGAGTTTGGGAGCTTCGTTGAACTCGCGCTGGACCGTCTTGGTCTGGGTCATGGTAGCAGTAGCCATGTTGATTTTGGCTTATGAGAAGGTAAGATGTTGTTTGGTTGATGACAATTGAGATTGAATCTGGAGAAGAGAAGGGGCTCTTTTAGGGATGATCATGGCTACTCTTATGATTGTGGTTCACACTCACCCGATGGAGGTCCGTTGCCTCGTGGGGAGGTTACAGACTCGCCCGAGCTCAGCCGGTGGCCTCGCCGAAGGGAACTGGGGAAGAGCTCCGTTCGGCGGATCAGATTCCGAGTGCAAGGCCAGGAGCGATCATCGAGAACGATCCAGGGCTTGTTTTGTTGGCAGGAGTGGACACACGAGAGCTGGTGGAGATCACAACTAAAAGCATGCTTTGTGCGAAGGAGACGCTGGATACAACAGAGAAAGGGAGGCTGGGCTGTACACTCGATCGCGTTCAAGTCTGATCGTCTAGGAAGGCTCGACTCGCCGAGCACGACGCCGAACCGAGTGGCTCTTCCCCGCATTCGGAGCAGGAGGCCCTCCGAAGCGTCGCTCTATAATCTCAGCAGGTGCGAGGTTCATTACTACCTGACACCCATCTCCGAGAGCCTAGCATGATCGTCTTCTCGCTGCGTTCGACAAGGACGACAAAGACGAGATCGGGCATCGGGACAATGTTCCTGGCGTTCCCCGCCTTTGCCCAACGTGGGGTCTAGACGTGGAGTTGGCTTCTCATGACAAAACGTGTGGCCAGCACAGACGAGAAGGAGAACTCATGATTTCTGGCCGGTGCAAAGCAGCACTTCTTGCTGACCTTTGTGCATACACCGAACTCACCCGCGTCCACATCCCGCATCACTACAGATGGTGTGGAGTGTCTCGAACAACATACCAGCAATACACGGTAAGCTAAACAACAATGGCTTGAATGTCGCTTCTCTACAGGACGACTGGCCAGGAAGAACAAAGTCTGTTCTCGAATCGCTCTCTGCGACACTGACAAAGCACCTTTAGGGCAGCGGGTGGCTGCTTGCCTCTCATATCCCCCAGACTTTTGGTGTCGGACGCGCCCACAAGATAGCATCCTTCCCCAGTTCTTGCCCACTACCGACCAACGGTAGGGCTCAGAGATAGACCACATGTTGGACCGGGTCAGTTGCGGAGACATCAACCCCATAAAGATCCCATATTGCACCTCCCCAGAATATTTGTACCCCACGACCATTTGTGTCAGCATCAGTCTTCTACCTCGACCATCTCGCAGTACTTTGTGAAGGCAGCACGACGTACTCTTCTCTCCTTGTCCCTGATCACGCCTCTTCTCAACATGGACAAGTCGAATGCCACCCACATGGAAGTGTCGGCCTTCCCAGACTCTCACGTCGTCGACTCGTACGCTGTCGACAACAAGGATGAACAAGTCACAGTCATCGGTACCATGGGCCAGGACCCTGATCATAAACAACCAGTGAGCTGGAGGGCATGGGCCATCGTTGCCATCTGTGCTCTGGCTACCTTCCAGAACACATACTACGGTATTGCCCCTGCTGCGAATCAATACGCCATCGCCGGTGCTCTAGACGGCACTGCAAGTCAAAGAATCTGGATCGTCCAGGCTGCTGCCGTTCCTGCCATCGCTTTCGGCCCAATCTTTGCCATCATCTCGGATGTCTACGGCCGCAGATATCTCATCCTCGTCGCTTGGACTCTTTTCGCTATCGGCTCTATCGTGTCTATGACTGCCAGTGGTATGACTGCTGTTATTGCTGGTCAAGCCCTCTCTGGTATTGCATCTGGTATCTCTGGTATCATGTTTGCCGTTGCCTCCGAAGTCCTCCCCGGAGCTTACCGTGCCTATGGCCAAACTATCGTCAGTTGGGTTTCCGGTCTGTCATCCCTGATTGCCCTTCTCCCCATCGGAGCCGCGACGACTGCCGACCCTGTCAATGGCTGGAGATGGGTCTTCCGCATCAAGCTCATGCTTGAATGCCTCGTCATCATCGGCATTGCAGCACTTTACTTCGTAAGTTTTCTATCCTCTATCTTGATTACTGCGCTGACCATACACGATGCANNGCCCCCTCCCCGTACTGCCGCTAGTAAGCAGTCGCTTGGTCAAAAGCTCAAGGCTCTCGACTGGATCGGCTATATCCTACTCTTGGGCGCACTCGTACCATTCTTGATGGGCTTTGCTTGGAGTGGTGACTCCAATTACGGTTGGGCAAACAAGACTCACACCGTTGTTCCGGTTGTTGTCGGTGGCGTTCTCTTCATCGTCTGCTTGCTTTATGGTACGTCCTGATCATCATCCAGTCAAGACACCACTAACGTGTCTGTTACAGAATGGAAGGGAACCAAGACGGGTTTCCTGGACCACCGTCTCTTCCAAAATGGACGCAACTTCCCCCTCTGCATGGTGCTCATCGCTGTCGAAGGTTCGCTCTTCTACCTGATGAACAACATCTACCCCTCCCAAGTCAACGGGCTCTGGGAGCAGCCTGGAACCATCAAGGCCAACGCATACCTCCTCCCCTTCTTCATGGTTATCACCGTCGTCTCGCCCTTCCTCTCCATCTACGTTACCAAGTTCAGAGATGTCAAGTGGCCCATCTTCGTTGGTTTCGTCTCTTTCAGTGCCTCTGTCATTGGCCTCGCCCTTGCTGGTAAATACAAATCTTTGAGCTACAAAGATTGAAGAGCTTTTACTGACATTTTGTAGGCGACNAGCGGCAAAATGGGCCTTATCTTCAACGGTATTGGTGGACTGGGCTTTGCTCCCGTCCTGATCTTGATCATGGTCTGGGTTCAGGTGAGCAAAACATTCTGCCGTGAATCAAGGAGCAATAAACTAACGATTTTATCCNNGCAGAACTCGACCCCTCCGCTCTTCATCGGTACCGCTTCAGCTCTGACTATCTCCTCGCGTACTCTGGGTGGTACCGTTGGCCTGGGTATCGCGAATGCAATCTACGGATCTCTCACAAACACCCAGATTCCCGAGTCCATCAGTAAGTCCACAGTATCCATGTACTTCTGAACAGTACTAACAAGATATTCNACAGTCGCTGCCGTCGCTCCTCTCGGCTTCAACCCAGCTCACATCGGTCAGCTCATTGGCTTCTACTTTTCCGGCCAGGGCCTCGACAAGATCCCTGGAATTAACGGACAGATCCTCGGCGCTGGTCTCGCAGCACTTCACAAGACAGAGGCACACGCATACAAAGTCGTCTGGTTTTCCTTCTTACCGGGGTGCTTGGCGGCGAGTTCCATCTGCCTTTTCATGCGCAACACAAGCGAAAGAATGAATTGGGTAGTTGATGCGCCTCTCGAGACAAAGGTTGACGCACTTTCCGTCAAGGAACAAGCATTGGAGGCGGACCATGCAACCGTTCACATTCCCACCCTGAACGACAACCTTGAGGTCGAGCTGGTCGAGCGCAGATAGACTCCTGCATCTGCAAGAAATTGAGCATGCCTCTTTTGTATATAGTGTATGAATTTATGTTTTGTTATGATACTACCTTCTATCCACGCATGCAATAAATCTGAAGAGGCAAAGCAAGGGCCAAAGCGTTCACGAGGATCCGCTCAACGAACGACATCATCGCTTTTCGTTAGCGCATTGACGCTGGAGATAGGTTCTTTGGCTGATTGACTACTATTACCTGTCGCACTCCATGTATCACCTCGCATCGCGCCTTCTCTGACTAGCCCGGTGCTACAAAGCGTAGCGTTACGACGTTGAGGTTGTCAAGGCAAGTAGTGAGATCCGTGCCTCAACACTCAACCACCACGACAACGAATTGTTACATCCAGAACAACCAGGCTCAGATCTGCGAAGTCCTGATCTTCATCTATCACTCCTCGTGACATTTCCATCGTCCTGCATCGAGCTAGAACACTGCACGACATAGCCCCGACAATCAGGTCTCGACCTCCTCGTCTGAACCGCCACCCAGTCTTGCCGACCTTGCCGGTCGATCATGCTGCACAGTGCACATGACCCTCTGCAGGTACTTGCATGCCTAGATCTGTGCCTGCGTTTGTAGTCTGTTGTTTGTAGGAAGACAACTCACCCATGCTGACCCGAGGGTGGAGGAGAAGTGCTTCAACAAGCAAAGACATCCCACTAGCTAACTGACATCGCTCGACTGACTTTCTCTCCTCCATGCCTCTCCACAATCTGTTTTCCTCCACAAAGCAGTGGAGGAACATGGAGAAAAGGCCGTGGCCATAAAGGGTATGAATGCGTCCTCCATTGCCGTGTACTCGAGATGATTACCTTCCTCCTGCCATCCGATAGGGCGATATCGCTGTCACACTTGGTTGTGCGATTAGTGTCGAGCAACTGGATCGTGTAAATCTTTGGCTTGCGTATCCTAAGAGCTGTAGATGCGTTGTTCTAGCAGTTTCAAAGGCATTGCTGTGCATTCAAGTCGATGGAATGATGCAGCCGAGTCCCTAGCTTGATGGTGTAATGACGCTCAAAGAGACATTCCACTCGCGATGTTCAGAGGCACAATATATCTTCATCATTCTTCACTGTAGATGATGACGTTCAGAAGAGTCGTCTGCTTAGATGCAGAGCCCTAAGTCTCAGAGGATCTGGCGTGCGTCGACAACAAATTGTTTGATCTTGATCAGCTCATTTCACAGTTTAGTATCATGAGTAAGTGGATGGTACGTGCTCATCCCTGAATCAAGCCTGCATCATGGAAATCTCCAGTTAACAGGACACCATAGATAAGGCAAGACGACAAGATACACCTGTGACCACGGAAGGAAGATTGGCTGTGGGGACTGGTGCACTAGGTCTTGGACAGGAGCACTCGCAGCATATCTTCACGGGCTGTCACCGTGCAGTATTCTGGAATGAATGTCCGCAAAAAAGCGACGGCAGATGTGTGCTTGGTGTAGTTGTAATTTTGCCGTTAATAGTCGGAGCCACATTAAGAGTACTGTTGCGAATGTACGAGTAGATTGATACAGCACTAGGCTGCATGAATCTCTTCTCTCCAACGACGTCAGGTAACTTCATCGGAAGTCTTTTCTGAACCCTCGAAATGTATACAAGTAAAGATGCTTCCCTAGTAGGCCCGACTGGAATGTGACAGATATGTCCTTTTCGAGATATGTCTCCTTCTTCTTATCGTAGATAGACATGTTCATCTGTAACTTGAGTAGCGGTTGATAGAACTCTTACGATGAACAGATAGACAACAAGGGAAACCCGCAGCTGGGAGGAAGGCATCGTTGAGTTCTCGATACGAGTTTACATCCGGCGATGGAATACAGAGATGGACGACAGTCTACTCGGTTTGATGGATTTCATGACAAGCGATGGGCGACGGATTTATATTCCATATGAGATGAGTTTAAAGGTCCTAGAGAAGTTCGTATGTTTGGCGTCCTGCTTCGATTCATACTGGGAAGCACCCCGGAACGGCTGAAATGAATCGTGCCTTCCTCGAGCAAAACTCACATGACATTCGTTGTACAGCATAACTCTTTGTCACAGCACGTCTGATCACGTCTTGAGATCGCTATGGTGGCTAAATAGGCGTAGTCAATACATTGGCTGACAAGAAAGACTGTTCGGGCAGAAGTTAGTATTTGAATTAGCTTACAGAGAGAAGCAAGCCGCTGTGAATCTGACACAGATTATTAATCATTGTTCAGTCCATCGACGCCAACGGATACCCACCATCACAAAGTCTCCAGTCTTACAGTACAAGTCCCTGATGCCGAGCGGGTAGGTGATTCCTCCACCAATGGGATAGGTCCATTTCCGTCTGCCCTAATGCTATCACTGTGCATTTCCAATGACTTGCTTCGTAGACACCTCGTTGGTGGGTCCAAGCCCTTATATCGATCTCCAGAGCGTCACTCATTCGTCTCAGTCTCGCTGGTACGTGCGGTCTCTCCAACAAGAGTGGTGCATCTCAACAAAGTAGATCATAGGGTATCTTGCACCTAAAATGCAAAGATAGTTGATCTTCAAGCTGTCCAGCCTCGGCATCGCCAAGAGGTGTTAAAAGATTGTACTTGGCCCTCCGTCTTTCTGAATTACTAGAACTCGGTTCAAAGATATGCTGGTTACTGAGCCGAAGTGCTGCGTGAATCGTTCTCCCAGCCACTGCACATTACATATGCCGGTATCTTTGAGGGTAAGATGGCTGACAGTGGTGTGCTTGAATTTGTGATAAGCGATCGAAGAGGGGATGCTCAAGTTAGGTCGAACATTGCGCAAAGATTCTCGTAAGCTGGCTTCCCTTATGATCAGATGGTTTCCGTTTCCTTTCAATCCGATATAGTAGTTTGACGCATTGTCGAATATCTCGAACTGTTTGCCGCGATTTCTTGACTTGAGAAATTCCTCAAGGGTGTCGAAGAGGCAACAGTATTCCCCTGGTTCTAGGAAAGAGCCCATGATGATCGAGACATTGCCGAGAATGCTGCGTGAACCGACCAATCTCTTCATGGTATGTTCAAAAATCGCATTCACGGAATTTTGATAAACGATTCGTTCGGTCTCAAGATATTCACTAAAACCATGGCTTGGGGTGTTCCCTGGAGACTGGCCATTGGTATAAAACGCAAGATCGATCACATGGCCATGCTTTTTGATGTGTTCGAATGTTTCTTCCATCATTGGGCTTTGCCGTTCCTCTTTGATGAAGAGGCGGCTGCGATTGGTACTCAGAGTGCTGATGGTAATCTTCTTGACGTGATGACTGAACCAGGGATGCTTGGCAATGTTGAGGAGGCCTTCCATGCTGTGCATCGAGGGAACATGCATACGGTGCGAGAAGAAAGCGTCGGCGAATCTGGTTTCAGCGGCTTGAAGCAATCTTCGGCAAACGAGCCTCAGGCTGATCAAGTCTACTTTGTCGGCGGCTGCGACAACCATGAGCAAGATCTCGTTCGGAAGGTCGAGTAACTGTTTAGGACCCTTCGGCTTCTTGTGCATGCTTCCGAGGAGCTCCCGTGATGATCGGTTGTAGTAAAGTGTCTTCTTGGTCTTCGTGACTGCCTACATGTCAATTTATCACTTGTCGTGCGCCTAGGCTGTCAGGCTTACGTTTTGTAACTCCCTTGATGTCAAGGCTCTTGACCAATTCGACCACGGTGCGCATCTTCATTCGCGCGGAAGCATGGCTGACGGTATCCTTTGGTTTCTTCATGACTCTCCAGGTGGTGCAGAAGCGCGTAAGAAAGAAGATGTTCGTTGAGGACTGAGATGTAGTTGTCGAGGTGAAGACGCAACGGCAAATCTCCAAGCATCAAAGATTTTTGGCTGCGCTTCTCTCCTCAACTGTCGTTCACTTGAGCTTTGAGTGAAGGATCATGGTCATCATCAACTTTCTGCACTCTCATAGTCCTTTCCACATCAATCTGTCCTCCTTGAGATATTATCCATAATGCTGCTAGAGGTTGAAAATGCACCCTCTCGACCCCCTACGCCTCCTTTCTGGCGGCCGTGGAATGGAGTCTTGCCGTTTCCCTGGCGTTCGTTCTGCTTCATGATACAGAGGCAGGCATGACAATACTCGCGGATACTGAACTGGTAGGGCTCACCAAAGCGGCGCGAGGAGCCACAGCTGGAGCACGCTGTCTCACGCGTGTTCGATGTGATGACGAAAGGGACATTGACCGGATGATCAATATAACACTTCACCGGGCCACCCCATCCTTTCCAACTCTTCAACACTCAGCTATCAAGATACAAAGATATTATCAAGATTGAAGGTGTATGCAGAGAGAGCCTGCCCTGGTCAGGTCTCTTAGTGAATACTGCCCGAATTCTCGAGATCATTGTGCTTTTCTATAGCACTCTCTCCATCGCCACTGCCTCGCCTGTAGCTCCATTCCACATCTCCATCAATAGTCCGACCTCTTTATCCTCCATTATTCTCACCAGAATCTCAATGCCACCTTTACAAACCAGATCTGCAACAACTTTGTGTCCATCCTGGGCTTCCTCTTTTCCATGAGCAGCAACCCATAACCTTTGCCTTGGCATCTGCCCAAACTTCAACCATGGCACTTCTTCCCCGACAACGAAATCAATTCGGAATTGTTTGCCTTGCTCTTTCCACGTTCCGGTCCATCTCCGAAGAATTTCTGTCTCAGGAAGAGTAGCAGAAACATCGGCAAAAGGAACAACGCGGGTCTTTATCATCGGCTTACTCCAACCGAGTAGATGGAACAAGGCAGCTTGGACTTGGCACCCAATCATATACCCCTCGGCCGAGTTTGTCATGAAAGATATTGCTTCTTTGCCGTCCAAACTGGCCAAAAGACTGCACCTCCAGCCAGGCATATTGCTACCACTGTGGCTGAAGTGAGTATCAGTGACACGCCAACCATGAGCCATACCCGCCTGCACTTCCTCAAGCATCTGCTTCGCAAGCTCTGTCGGTATGAATCCGTCCTTGTCATGCAAGGACTTCTGGACTGCAGCAGCTAAGATTAGGAGATCAGAGGGTGTGGTCCACAAGCCCGCGGCCGATTGCTCTGGGTTCACGCGGTGAGCAGCTTCGCAAGCAGTGTAGCCGTTGTAGTAAGCCCTTGCATAATTGCCCTTTCCCAGCTGCTTCTCAGTGTTCAAATCTTCATCTTCAGGAATGGCGAACGTCGATCGCTGCATGCCTAGTGGCAGGAAGACGTACTCTTGCACAGCTTCGGCGAAAGACTGTCTTGTCACTGCTTCGATAATGAGCTGAAGGATACCATAACCACCCCCAGAGTAATTGAAAGCATGGCTGGGCCAATCTTTCAATCGGATAGGCAAAGTATTACTCGGCCAATTCCCCTCTAACGCTTCCGCCAAATCTGGCAAAGCAGCGCGAAAATGACCATTCGCATTGCGGCTAACATCGTAACCGGGAAAGCCTTGAGTACTGCTGGTTTCGAGTCCGGAAGTATGAGACAGCAACATGGAGATCGTGATGAACTTTGCCATTCCTCTGGTTGCGGGAGTTTCCAGCTTTTCTACATCTTTCTGACTGAGATATGCAGATATAGAGGTGTGTACAGATAGACAGCCGGTATCGATCAATTTGAAGGTCAGAAGCGAACAGACAGATTTCGAAATCGAGCAGGCCTGGAAGAGAGTAGAAACGTCATCACTGCCAGAGCTCATGCAGTGGGAGGTGGTTGTATCTTCGCTTTTGATGGCGAGCGAGATGCATGGTACCCCTAAATCCTGAAGGACAGTTTTCGCCGTTGTGTGGGATGGATGGCGGTTGTTGTTTGCAATCAGTTCTTCGAGTCTGGTGAATATTGAGGTGTCCATGATTGCTCCAGAGCAAAAGATTAGTCTGGATAGAACGAGGTGTCTATGTGATATCCGATGTATCAATGCTTTATCTGAACAAGCAGTCGTTGTTGCCTGGAGTCTCGGCTAAATTCAAGTCGGCTCCTTCAAGCCACGACTTCAATTTAGATCGAAAACGGAAGGTGGGAAGGTAATCGAAAATGCTATATCAACATTTCACAGTATGTTAAGCTTTTTGATGACTTTTGTATCTACAGTCGCGGTGCTGCCCGTTTCGACTCATTGCGAGTCTAACGTTGTTTTCACTCCTCAGAGACAAACCTCTACTGCATCTCCTCAGCATCGGCGCCGTCGTTCTTTGACCTGGCTGCTCTCTGCTCATCCAGCTTGCCAGCACCTTTGATAGCCTCGAGACCCTTTGATGTCAAGTACAAGAAGTGTCGCTCCTTGTAATTGTCAATCTGGTTGAAGAAGAGGTGGAANNTCTAGAATGTTTTGTTAGCACACCAGTACTTGTCGCCGACGTCGTGCAGGACTTACGTGTTGTCTCTTTCTTCTTCGGCAAAGATTCTCTGGTAAATCTCCCTCTGCTTGAACTCTTCGAGCTCCTTCTCATATTTGCTGAAATCAAGCTTCTCCTTGTCGTGCTTGACAGCTTGAATATCATTGTAGCTATCAAATACGGGGCGCTCCAGCAAAAGACCCAAACCAGGAACCTTGGGTATACTGATCTTCTGGTCGCCTTGGGCTTCGACAATGCGTTCGATAGGAGCACCACAGCGAATTGTCAATGCAACCATACCGACCATCTTGCGAATCTGGTGCATCATAAAAGATTGACCGTGGACCTTGAGAGACAACCACTCCGTTCCGTTGATGATGATAGGTTTCGGATTGCAGACGAACGACTTGATGTTACGCTTAGCTGAAGGATCCTTGTACGTCTTCTGGATGGTGAAGTTGTGGTAGTTGCGAGTTCCGACATAAGAGTCCAGTGCAGCTTGGACACGAGCGATGCGCACATCCGGGATACGGTATGCGCGGCGAGCAGCATTGTAAGCAATCTTGAGCTGTTTGACAGCAGCCTCTATACGCTTCTTCTGTTCTGTGGGCATGTTTGTCGACTCGAGAGTGGCAGGCTCATCGGGCATGGGAGTGTCAGTTGTGCCAGCAGTCTCAGCAGCAGCTTCGGGCTTGGCTTGAGCATCTGCTGGTTTCGATGTATTGAGATCGGCTGTCTTCTTGACCTGGTCCTCCTGCTTCTCTTGCTGCTCTCCATCAGGGTTGAAGTCAGAAGGCTCGTGAATGGCTTGTAGGACTAAATCGCGAATGTCGTCATCCAGAGCATCAACAATAGGCTTGATATCACGCTCTTCTACCATCTTCCAGAAGTCCTTGACCTCAGCTTGACGAGACTCGTAACCTTCACGGTCACCAGCCTCGTCGGCAGCCTCCTCCAGGTTTCTTGCCATCCAGCTGCTCGGGTGTGGCGGCAAGAAGGCGTGCGAGGGGATCAGGTATTCATACCAACGGCTGTCGCAGACCTGGTAGCAGCTGAAGCTACCGATCGTTCTCTCAATGCCCCAGACTCTGATTTGTGGTGATAGATGCGAGTTGATCTTCTGGACGATATCGGGGTCTTCTACGATCAACTTGAGCGAGATCATGTTGCCTGCGGCGTGGACGCCCTTGTCGGTACGGGCGCATCTGACAAGAGCCGACTTTTTGGGATCGTCGGCGTTGGCCTTTGAGATGGCACCAGCTTGGACGAAGGCTGTGAACAGGTCGCCTTCGATTGTCTTCTCGGTCGTGTTGATCTGCATGCCCTTGTAGCCAGTGCCACTGTATCCAATCAGAACGGCGACCTTGCGCTTGGGTTTGCGCTCCTCTGCAGCAATTTCATCCTGAGCGAAGGGTGCAGGCAGGACCGAGTTTTCTGGACGCGGCTTCTTCTTTTCTTCGTCGTTGCGAGATCTTCGGTCAGGTTGCTCTCGTCTAGGGGGCGATCAGTATTCTGATATAATCATATCAAGTGCCAGCAATACCTACGACCACGCGTTCCTGCCCATATCTCTCTTCTTACCACCGCGACCAAATTTGAGTCCGTCGTCTTGGAATCGCTTTCGCTTGCGGTCGCTGTGGGATTCGCCCTTGGGCTCTGCACTTCCCTCGGCTGAGGTTGTGTTGGTTGCATTGTCGACAACAGGCGCCGTAACCGGCTTGGTCTCACTCGAATCTGCCATGATGTTGATAATGACATGGTGAAGGTGCTCGAAATGCTCCAATTCTCTTTGCTACCGCCGCCTTGGCGTCATGACCGACGAACTTTCTCCACATCTCCGCTATTGCCAGGGTCTCACTCCATACAACAATTTCGACCATCTTTTTGTCTTCTTTTGTCTATAGTACCATCCACATCTGACCTGTTACTTCTCAAAGCCAACTGTACGGTACTCAACAACTCACTTGGTGGTATATAACAGCTACATTCTGTAACTCCACACTTTGCAGGAGTAACGACGCTTTTGCAATGTAGAGAATTACTCTGATCAGGAAATGCTTTCAGTTTTGTGATTCTCACACCAATCTTGACTTCACCAAATCCTCAGTCGTTTGAGCTCGATAAGCGACAAGCACATTGCGAACGCTTAGAGAAGTATCTCCAGCCCTCAAAGATCCTACCAGAGCTCCTAGAGAAGGTCGATCGAGCCCCGAGTCGTTTTTGTGATAGATGTAGATAGTGGATATACTATGATTAATTTCATGCTCAAGTATCATCTCTTCTTAGCTCAGTTGGTTTAGAGCGTCTGACTGTAATTGTTCGATTGTCATCAGAAGGTCCTTTGTTCGACTCAGAGAGAGGAGATCCTTTTTGTCTGTGGACGTTCTCGCTACGGCGCTTGTCTTTTGGTCACACCTGCCAGGCCACAAATCCTTCCACTTGCATCACTCGTGTGCCAGGAGAGCAACCAAGTACTTGTCTATACCGGCAACAGCTAGTCTTTTGGACTCGACCACCCCAGCATTTCCATGTTTGAAACATCAGCAGACTCCAAAGTTCGAGGGGCGGCTCGGGCGCATCGTGGTTGAACCCTGACGCGGCCAGACCCGCAAATCTCTCCTGGACCATTCAACCTCATGCCTTCCTCCTTGATCTTGTCGATTTCATTCTTTTCTATCACACATACAAGGCCAATTGCTCTGGAATCTGCCCATTGCATCCTCTCAAAATCGTGCGCTCGTCTCAGCCGCTTTCACTCTCCTTAAAATCGTAAGCTGGACGCTCTTTCGCCTCTCGTATTTGTCGAGGTGCGAAGCCTGCCCATCACTCTCTAGCCGGACTGTCATCACCAATTTTTGGACTCGAAGACTGCCACCCTTTCTTGCATACCGCAACTCATTAGGATTGTCTCATCTCGACTGCTCAAGCGGGATATCACTAGACCTTACTCTCACTTGATCTCGCCGGCCAATTATCTGCAACACTAAATCATTCAATATGGCTCGCAATGTCGACCCTTACCTGACCGGACCAGACCTGGTGGTCTCTAAAAATCTCCTTCAGGACTTGCAAGCATTGGCAACTCCCGCAGGCCAGGACCCAGCAGACGATGCAAAGGACATCAAGCATCTACTTGCAATCAATGATCCGAAAAGCCCAGATTTTGTGCCAACTGTCTTCACAACATGGGACGACAAAGATCTCAATCCCACCATTAACAAGTACCTGGTCAAGCCTTACACCAAGATTGCCATGGGGATCGTGCGGCACCCGACTGATGTTGTTTTCCTGACACATATCATCCTGTACATGACGGTCAATTTTGCAAGCGCCGCTTACCTCTACTATGACTTTCATTGGTATCATGGTGTAATCCACACCGTGTATACTGTGTGGTGTGCTGGTGCCTTTACTCTGCTCATGCACAATCATATACACAACGGAGGTGTTCTGAAGAAGGAATATGCATGGTTCGATCTTAGCTTTCCTTACCTACTGGAACCGCTGATGGGTCATACTTGGGACTCTTACTACTACCACCACGTCAAGCACCATCACGTCGAGGGCAATGGGCCGGACGACCTCTCCTCGACAATTCGCTACCAGCGCGACTCACCCTTTGACTTCGCATGCTATGTCGGACGCTTCCTTCTCTTCATCTGGGCCGAGCTGCCGCTCTACTTTCTTCGTAAGGGCAAGTCAAGGTTGGCACTGCAGTCTTGCGTGTCAGAGATGGCCAACTACGCCTTTTTCTACTTCATGGCAACCAGAGTCCACTTTGGTGCCTCCATGTTTGTCCTCCTACTGCCTTTTGGTATCATGCGCCTGGGACTTATGATTGGAAACTGGGGCCAACATGCTCTCGTTGACGAAGTGGACCCCGATTCAGATTTCAGAAGCAGCATCACCCTCATCGATGTTCCCAGCAACCGCTTCTGCTTCAATGACGGCTACCACACCGCTCATCATCTCAACCCTCGCCGCCACTGGAGAGACGCTCCGGTCCATTTCCTTCAAAGCAAGGAAGCGTACAGCAACGGTCGCGCGCTCGTCTTCCATAACATCGACTACATGATGCTGACCATCAGAGTGCTCAAGAAGCAATACCTCTACCTTGCCGAAAACTGCTTGATCCCTATTGGTGACCAGACCAAGATGTCGAAACAAGAGCTGGCGGATATATTGCGCACAAAGACAAAGGCATTCACCGAGGAAGACATCAGACAGAAGTTTGGTATCAAGGCTAGATCAGGNAAAAAGGGTGGATGGATGAGTTGGACAGAGAAAATCATTGGCGGCCTGTCTGGGTCAGTCTCAGGCCCTATGGTCAAGGAGGCAACCGAGTAATACCTTCATTGGTGACAGTTAAATTGATGTAGAAAGCGATATCGATACCTTGACTCTATTTTTTGTCCATAGTGGTCTTGGTGCATGTGGATGCTCAAGCGGCAGCGGCATTAGCCCAAAGGAAAGGTAAATCGGCTCCTTCTTCAATTCTAGTGCATCGAGCTTTCCCGCCCACCGTGATAAACACGGAGCCTGCACTGTTGCCGAAAGTCTGTGCTAGCGCTGTCGCAAAGTTGTCAATAAGACCTCATAGCATCTTCCACTTCTCCAGTGCAGCGAATGCCGCATCCTCATCCTCTCAATCGCCTCACATCTACCATCCAGACGGCCGTCAATACCTTTGACCAGTCATTGCGAGTCAATTCACCTTTGTGGCAAACAGATCACACTTGCCATACTATTGGTGGCCACTTCTTGTGCAGTAAGCCTGGTCCCATCCATTCAACGGTTGTGGTCTTCTCTGACGCGAAGCAGATCTCATACACAGTGCATATTTGGCCGAGGACGGCTTCCACCTCGCTCGCGTTGCCAAACAAGCAGATCAACTTGCATCCCCGACTGCTGGAAGTGTGCTCGCCGTACGCATTAATTTACTATGTTACACTTCTGTCTCTCAGATGGCATCGTCTTTCGCTTTTCGGGAGGAGTTAGGTGACCTGCAACTTGGGGCTCCGGTTAGACACCGCAGCCACTCTTCTCGACTCCTTCTGCTTGGACGGGACTACACGTTGTGTCTTTGTTCTTTGCACAGAGATGAGGTTGGCGAATGGTGGGTTCCTCTATTGAGGTTTCTTTTCGTTCCCTCTTGCATGTTCGAGGAGCAGTGAAAGCTGTGCGAAGAGTTCCAGGGCCTCTTCACTACAGATACGGGTGAATGGAAATTGCTCACTTGCGCCCAGAAGTCCCCTTCTCAGCTGCCAGCTGGGAGCCGTCACCATGAGACGTTTCTGAGGGTTACTCTCTTCCGAAACTGATGTTCGCTTTCGCCATCTTTGCCCACATCATGTTGAAGAAGATCCCGAGAGCCCAAAAATTCGATTTGTTGTAAGAGGCCAAAGGACCTGGAAACATAAACTTGCTTGAGTACTAGATGGGCCAGGATAGAGAGCGTGCTTCTGAAACGCTCTTGTACAAATTTGTGTTCTGAGATATCGATTTGCATTTTGGTAGCGAGAAGATGGTTGTTACAGTAGTCTTGATTCGTCATTGTCGTGATCGTACGTTCGTGCTCAACTCGCTCTCAAACCCGGTACTAGCTTGATACTCTCGCGTTCTTACGGCCCCTCTTCCACCTAGGATTGCATGTCCTATCACTTGTCAAGGCTCATGCGCTCCGTGGCAGGGGTGGTGGAAGGGAGCCGGGCGCGCGCTATTGCGTCCTGCTCGAGTTGAGTGGCTGGCGAGGCCGTTGACGACGCCCTGATGCTGTNCTCCTGTGCAATCGTATGAGTGAGAAGCTAGAAAGAAGGGAATTTGATGCGATATTACTTACTGCTGCTATCATTCAGCTTACGCTTGATTCTAGTGACCAGGTCTTTGACCGTAATCTTGAGCTTCTTCAAGAAGCGTGGTGCCATTGTGATAGGCGACGGAAGAGAGTTTGACAGTGATGACGATGTGGATGGCGGTGGGAGCTGCGAAAATTCGGTGACCTTGTTGTGGTTGTGGTCAAATGGGAACAGAGAAATGGTGGAAGGTGTGATGGAAGTGAAGCACTTCAGAGAGGCTGCATACAGGAACGGAAACTTCTCCTGGAACGCAACTTCCTTTCCACGACGACCTACCACAACGCACTCTATGAGTCGATAACGAGTGACCAGATCAAACGTTCGACCCCTGGCAGTTTGGCTTCTATCTCCAAGCTCTCTTGAGTTTGAGAGAATCTCTGTACTTCCCACCTGGTGAGTAAGGGTTGAGTTGCGAATCTCTATACGAAAAACACTGACACTCGAGTATAGGAATGGACGACCTCCCCGTCTCACAGCTACTCCATCAAGTAATCAGATGAGAAGAGGCACGGGCAATCGCTGCCATGCAGCGTCAGCAAGAAGAGAACTGTGTCTTGGACGCCGTTACAAAGATGTTCGGGGTGACCTGGGTCCCCCACAACGATTGCCGAGGCCAGTGCACAGAAAATTGCGAGTGCAAGGGCGGCAAGATCCCTAGGGAGAGCGAGAAGAGTGGGTGTTGGTGTAGAGCCCGATAGGGTGCGGCCTAGACGCTAGTAGGGACTGTGTCCAGAGTCGCACTCCCAGAATGTAACTCCTGTTCGTGTATCTGCTATACATCTCGATGATTTGGGATCTGATATGACCTCTCTGAGAACGAATTGTTCATCAATCACAGGTATGTCAAAAGCTCTCCACGGTCGTGACTCCATTTAGGGAGTACTGCAGAAATTCACGATGGACTTTTCACGTGCTGTGTTCCAATGAGAGTGCGAGGGACACGAACCATACCAGTCTCCCAGCGGATATGTGAGAACATGAAAATTAGTTGTTGCATTGTTATAGGAAGGAAGTTGCTGATAGTCTAGCCGGAAGTTCCGCAAGCGTTGTTGCCAAGAGTCGTTTCCATGTCGTCATCACCTCGAGGCCGACGACGACTACTGATTCATCTTTGTTATGTCGTTCAAAGAAGACCATGATATACATCTAGATCGAGAGCGTTCGAAACATTCACAGTAATCGTTGTCAAAGCCGTACTAAGACATAAAGAACAAAGCAACCATCCAGACCTGAACCCTGATCGACATCCCGTAGAAAGATCATCAGCAAATATAGCAGGAGCAGTCATGGCCGACGGCAACAGATCAACATTGAAGGAGTTCATTGCAAGCATATCAACAATCAAAGGCGACCTCTCAAACATCACCGCACCGCCGTTCCTGTTGGCATCTCAATCTACCGTCGAGTTCCCATCCTACTGGTGCGAGAGACCTGAGCTTCTGTGTGCTCCAGCATCGGAGCCTGATGCTCAGAAACGCTGCTTGCTTGTCTTGAAATGGTTCCTGGCAAGTCTGAAGCGCCAGCAGTATGCAGGGAGGGACGAAAGCGCCGGGGTCAAGAAGCCATTGAATGCTTTTCTGGGTGAGGTTTTCATGGGAGCTTGGGGAGGTGCGGATGGACAAGGCAGGACCTGCCTGATCTCCGAGCAAGTCAGGTCAGTCGAACTGTCCGCAGAAGAGTTGAACGAGTGCGAAAGTGCTGATTTTGATNNTAGCCATCATCCGCCGGTCACTGCCTGCTACCTTTGGAACGACCAGAAGGGCGTCAGAGTATGTCTAGACAATCGACAGCCACTCACAATCACTAATCCGAAGGTTAGNGCTGAAGGATACGCTTGCCAGAACATCACCTTCTCTGGCACCGTCAACATCAAGCAAATAGGCCATGCAATCATCCACCTCGACAAGTGGGACGAAGACTACCTTATCCCTCTACCATCCGTCAAAGTCTCTGGACTAATCACTGGAACGCCTTATCCGGAACTGGTCGGCAGCTACGACATCGTCTCATCATCCGGCTATGTAGCCACTGTGGACTTCTCTGGCAAGCGCCTGCTGGGCTTGGCTGGCAAGAAGAACGGCTTACATGCGACCGTCTACACCGCAGATGACAGCAACCGCAAACACCCGATCTACACTCTAGATGGTACCTGGAATGACGTCTTTACGATCCGCGACGAGAAAGCTGGTTCTGTAATTGGAGATTTCGACACGAATGCTCATCCTCCGCTACCTGTTCAGGTTCCGGACGAGTCCACTCTCGACCCTTACGAAAGCAGAAAAGCTTGGGGTCCAACTATATCAGCATTAAACTCTGGAAACATGCAAGCGGCCGCCGATGCAAAAAGTAAGGTCGAGCAAGGCCAGCGCGAGATGAGAAAGCAAGAGGAGAGAGAAGGCAAGTCTTGGTCCCCTCTGTTCTTTCAGAAGGTGCAAAGTGAGCCGAGACTTGATAAACTGAAGGCATTGGCGCACGGGGATGCAGAAATGGATGATGCTCAAGGTATCTGGCGCTGGGTTGGTGATGAGAAGGCTGAACAAGTCGATAGACCCTTCCATGGTGATCTGGTGCCATGGTTGACTTAGGATGGCGAAAATTCCCCTCCGACATGATTGCATCAACTCTCTCTGGAGATACATTCACACTCATATAGAACCGTGAGTTGTGATGGCTTGTATCTTTGGTATCTACTACACAGAAAGAGTGACCTTGGGTAGCCCAAGGATTCAAAGCCTGCTATTGTGTATATCGTCCTTCGAGCTCTCCTCATTACTTACGTGCACTTGATGTGACTATGAAGATACACAGGTTGATTCGATACAAGATATGTGCATGGAGAGAGCGTCGAGATGATTTTTAGTAGCGACACATCCTACTAGGTAATGGAACGACGCAGATAGCAACGGCACTGTGACTTCCTACAGTCCACTAGAAAGCCAGCGTAAAGGGGGAAAACCAGACAGATACCATCGTGACTAGGTGATCCCGCCTGGTCTAAACAATCAAGTGTGTTCCCCGAGTACTATAAGGAGAACTTCGTGAGGAAAGGCATAAGCGGTATAGAAAAGGATACATGCCGAGATCACCCCCAGGTACAGCCACGACGGGGGTATCACCGGGCACAGAAGCTTCCGGGCCCCAGGCACCGTCACGGCCATTCACCACGTCCGCAACCATACCAAACATCGTCGTCGAACATCACGTCAACGATACGTCCACACACGTGGGGTTGACCGTTTCCACAATACAGAAGCTAACACAGGCAATCCGACCCAGTTCTACTCCTGTCCCTCTTACATCTTCCTGGCAACTCCGGCTCCATAAGGAAGAAATTTAGTACTCTATTCGTGCTTGTTGGCATGCTCTTATCCTTGGAAGTTGAGGATACAAACTGAGCATTTCATATCGATACAGATCAGGAAGCAATAAAGCTATTGGAGGAAGGTAATATGTGTTGTGTACAGAGTCAAGAGATTGATTTGCAAAGGAAAAAAAGTCAAACTCGACATCTTCGAAGCAAAAGATTCGTAACAGTTTCTCTCGTCGCATATACTTGCTCATCAGGATTGGTACCTTTGCTGGAATTGCAAGCGGTGAAGTTGGTGTTACCTCTATAATCTTCAATCTCACTTTATAGCAATCTTCCCCAACAGTCTCTTAGTAGCACAAATAATGCTTAATCTCACCTGGATCAATATTAGTGGTGATCCTAATGAATTCAATGCAAGTAAGCGTGACAATGGAGTCTCTTAGGGAAAGAAGAGTCTCTCTCAACATCTCTTATAGTCGATTGCAGATTTGAAGAGTATCAGGAAGGCACGACCGACGGAGATGATGGGGCGAGAGATATTGGTTGTACTCGACAAGAAATTCGGTCACAACAAACATCGACAGTCCGAACTTTTCTCCTTCACTCGCGATCACTTTCTTTCTCACGCGTACAAGTCCACGAACCGCACAATTTTCTTGTGCCGCTACATCTTCCAACCTACGCAATCCTTACACCAAGACACACTCTTTGACAGCGAGTACCTCTCGCACACGCTCGTTACCCTATCATCAAGAGTGCCACGCTTCAAAGACACACCAAAGAAAACCACGAAGACCACAGACTCGGACAGCACCACTGCATACCAAATATTTCACAACAAGAATTTGACATCGGTAATCTTGCTTTGTCGACCAAAGTAAAAGAGCCTTAAATCAAGAAGGCACAACAATCAATACCAAAATTCTACAATCGGCCGACTCTATCATCATATATCAACCCTCTAAAAGGAACCACCGATACTCGACGCATGACAATTAGAAAGTCTTTTCGATAACTTGATTATCAATCTCCACAATCAGAATACAATGACTCCCGCCGGCTCAATCGCACTCGCCCTCTTCTTGACCACCTTTGGCGTCATGTTCTTCTGGTACATTTGGGTCAAAGCCTTTGAGTGGGAACTAGCCATCTGGTACCGTCACACAGTCCAGCATCGCCAGGAGCGCGAACTTGACTTGCCGTCCATCGACTTGGAGAGGGGCAGAGGAGAAGCTGGAGGAGGAAGTGAGGCTGCTAGTAAGGCTGGTAGCAAGAAGTCTGGTGGTGAGGGAAGTAAGACATCAGGCGGAGGAGGAAGCAAGCATGGAAGCAAGGCTGCCAGCAACAAATCAGACAATAAGAATGGTGGCGGAAGCAGACATGACAGCAGATCCGCGGGCAAGGCTTGAGCTTCGCAGCATGCAGTCGCCAGAGGGGTCAGATAATGATGGAAGACAGGAACCACGTGTCAAGAAGCGATATCAGCTGGTTCCTTACTAGTCCAAGGAAAGAGCCGAGACAAATGAGTTTCGTCTTCATGGTTAAACAGAAGAATCTTGGTGAGAAAAGAAGTCGAATTGCAACAAAGACTAAGTTGCTGTGGAATGCATCTGCCTATAGTGTCTAATGGAGAGAACCAGCATCTGAAAAGAAGCATCACGATTGTAACTCTAGAAGCTGTCGTGTATAGCAAATCTTACTCACGTGGCTATACCCACACAGAGCATTCGTGACCGTGTTGTTAGTCAAGCTCAGATCTTGCCGTTGCTGACCTTGATCTGCCTGGGGTTCTGTCCCTCCACCATCTCGATGCCCTCGAGAACGTGAGCATAGACACCAGGAGGCCTGCCCATCTTGATCTTTGCACCACCAAGTTCTTTCAGATGATATCCATCTCCGTTTTCAGCTTCCCAAGTGAACTTTCTGAATTCACAATTCTCGTAGCCAGTTCCTTTGGAGCCATCGAAGGAAGCCCAGTCGGCAGTGAAGAAGTGCAGGAAGGCGCCATGGGTAACTAGTACGACAGCTTCAGAGGGATGAGCATACAATGTTGCGCGAAGCGCAGCAGCGCGTGCGTTTACCGCTTCGAGAGTGGCGGCGTAAGGACCAGCCTTTGAGTTCCAGCCATCCTCAACCAGACTCCAATCCATTCTCTCGATGCCAAAGCCAAGGTTTTCTTGGTCCAGCCAGGCTGCGATCTTCTGCTTGAGTTCTGCTTGCGGATATCCAATGTCACAGGGCTGGTTGGCGATTTCTTGGGCGAAAGGTACGAGTATGAACTTGACGTCTGGTCTCGTCTTCAACACATCGCCGAAGCCGAGGCAAGCGGTTTGGATCGTGCGGATCAGAGGCGATGCCATGATTGTGAGAGAAGTTGGGAGGGAGGACTTGGGAAAAGTGTTGCTGAGATTTGTGCACTGTGTGCGGCCGAGATCTGTGACATTTGGATCACGCAGATGATGTTGGTNTCTGAGAGATGATCAGATGGTGGAAATACAAGCGCTAAGAAAGACCAGATATACGTTGACGTTGTGGTGGCCCTGAGCATGGCGAACGACATAGATTGTTGGTGCCATGATTGGAATGGGATGTGACACAGCGTATGAATAAACGAGTCGTGAATTGTTAAGTGAAGATGCCCTGTTTAGTGTAGTGATTGAGATTTGAATTGATTGGGATTGGAGGGGAAGAGAAAGGAAGTAATTAGTTTGTACAAAAGAGTCATCAACCAAGGGCAAACGCCGACATGAGGTTAGTTTGCTTCGGCCCACCTGCCTTGAAGCTTCACGGACGGCGGCTCACTTGCCTATTCGAGCTGTCGTCCGGATTACCAGAAACGACACATGGCAGCCAAGCTTCGCAAGAGCAACTAGATTCTGAACCTCGATGAAGGTATGGTGAAGCGTTGTTTGCAGACAAGTTCCACGGTATAGAGTGGTGTCAGCAATGAGAAGGAGAAGGTCAAGGGCAGCAGAGGGCCTGGAAGCATTGACAAGGGCTTGGCGGTGACGTAGGTGATAGCCGAAGATAGACCACCAGTTGGGCGGTCGAGGGTGGGCACTGGGCAGGTGCAAGACGCAGACGCAGCTTCCCCAGACAGACCCATCCAAGCATCCATACCACTCTCCCTCTTGCCATAGCTTGACCACTCGCCGCAATGTGGGACGACGAGGACAACAACCCCTACGGCTCCTTCAACAGGCGCGACTCGGAGACGTCCGACGCTCCCGGTACACGACCCTCACCTCCTCCCACCACTCTCTACCCTCCGTCTAACTGTCGCATCAGCNNCTTCCGTCAAGCCCCGTCGACACCGCCCTCTGGCTCGAGCAGCCCTCAGCAGTCTACACCCGAGTACCACCGACCAGAGTCTACCTACCACGATGAGCCCTTCGACCACGACCAACAAGACAGCGACCACCACCATGACGACGACGAGGACGTGTCGCAGTCGCGTAGGATTGAACCCAAGAAGGGCGGCTACCACAGTCGCATTGAGCAGATCCTCTATGAGAACCCCGACCTCGACATCCACATTGTCCACGCCGGCAAGAACACCGAGGGCGGCGGCAGCTACATCACCTACACCATTCGCACCGGAGTAGGCCATTCTGCCACCCAACCTGCCACCACCATTGCTGACTGCTCTAGNGATATCGAAGTACGAAGACGCTACAGCGAGTTTGCATCGCTAAGAGCCACCCTGGTCGCCCTTCACCCTACCCTCATCATTCCACCTATCCCCGAGAAACACTCCATCACCGACTACGCTTCCAAACCCACAAAAGCAAAGGAGGACCTAGGCATAATCGAGTTGCGCCAGCGCATGTTGACCACCTTCCTCAATCGCTGCCGTCGCATGCAAGACGTCCGCGACGACAATGTCTGGTGGCGCTTCCTCGACCCCAACGCCAGCTGGAACGAGGTCCTCCACTCTCACCCCGTCGTAAACATTCCCAAGAACAACCTCAAAGCTCCTCCACTCGATCCTGCCAATCCTTCTCCCGGCCACAACTTCCTGCCTGTACCTTCATCCTCGGCCAAACTACGCTCGTCCGCCAACGCTTCCGCTTCTGGTACACCCAGCTCACCGCCCATGCCACAACCATCAGTTGCCGCCCATTCTGCCCCTGGTCCTCAAGTCTTTGGTCGNTTTCCCCCCGACTCGCAATCCCTCTCGGAAGAAGATCTCGATCCCTACTTTGTCCAGTTCGAAAACTCATCGCGCGAGCTGGAATCTTTGCTGCAAGGTTCTATGGAGAAGGTCAACCAGCGAACGCTTCAGCATCTATACAAGCTTGGAGACGATCTTATGGAGCTAGGCGGTCGTTACAACGCTTTCTCTCTATCCGAACAGTCTGCCGAGGTTGCCGCTGCCATTGAGAAGATTGGCCAGGCTTGCGACTTCACATATATTCAAACCCGTGACTTGTCCAGCGGCTTGTCGGCTCAATTTGCTGAACCAATGCGCGAGAGTGCTCAATTCGCCGGGATCGTCAAGGGCGTTCTAAGATACAGAGTCCTGAAGCGTGTCCAGCAGGAAATGACTCGTGAAGAGCTTGACAAGAAGAGGACGTCCCTTGACTCTTTGGANAAAAGTGAAGCCGAGGCCAAGCGTATTGAGCAATATCTCCACAACTCTGGTTCTTCACCACCTCAACGTAGTATGAGCACTGGCAGTAACGCTGCTAGACGCAACCCTGCCAGGGATCAACTGCCCAGGCGTGCAGAAGACGACACGGCAAGCATCGACTCAGACTTCCCTCCCACCATGGGTAGTGCTCCCAGCGCCGCTCAAGGCTCTCCCCATCAAGATCAGCCTACCAGCCCTACGCAACATAAGAGAGGCGCTAGTGGCAACTTTGTGACGAACAAAATCTTTGGCCGACTCACTCATGCGTATCACAATGTCGTCGATACTGATCCTGAGCGCGTGAGGAGAGATCAGATTGGCAAGACGAAGGAGAGTCTGACACAGGTAGGAACAGCCAACTCCGCATAGATATTGTCCCGTGCTAACACCCATCGNCAGCTCGAACAAGCTCTAGAAGTCTCGGAAAAGGATGTCAAGGATGCCAGTGGTGCTGTACTCAAGGATCTAAAACGCTTCCAAAGCGACAAGGAAGAGGATCTGAGGAAATACATGGTGAGTTCTTGTGTCCGCATGAGCCATCTCATTACACANTCAGTTGCTAACGAGAATTTCTTCCAGCTGGCATTCGCACGTTGTCATATCGAATGGGCGCAACGCAGTCTAGAGACTTGGGAAGAAGCTCGAGTGGAAGTCAACAAGATCCCTGTGTTGGAGCCGAGGTAGATGGCTGCCTCGCCAAGTCGATTGTCTATCTAAAGTATGCAGATTCGCAAAGAATCATTAATGTCTTCTGTATTTGCCACTTCCCGTTCGCTGCAGGATTTTGTGCTTGCAGGTCAAATCGCAATGGTTCATGCCCCGCTTTGTCAAAGAGAAACTCATTGAGGGAAGGAACGATTCAGTCTGTGTTACACGGCTAATCAACAGACGCTATACAATTTTTGGTGTTGTCACACTTTGATCGCTAGCTAGCTACACTCCAGCATCAAACCTGCTGTTCCAAAACTTCCTTGCAAGTCTGTAACCACAGACTGTTCACTCCATTCTCCTGGCCCCTTTTCACAAACACGTCCAATCTCTTGATGACAGCGCTTGCCTGCACCGGCATCTCAATACCTCTCTTACTCAAACTCAACAACAGCTGAGCAGAATACAGAATCTGCATGCCCAGGACGAAAACCTCGATTTTCCTGCTCCAACCAAGCGGTGTGTCAGGCTTATCTTCAATCTCAGCGATCAAGACGTCAAGACCATCGATGACCCAGGTGCAGAGGTTCATGAGTAAGCGGAAGGAGAAGGCGTCCGGTCGAAGTCGGGCAGCGACAGAAGCCCACACTCGCGCTTCTCTGGTCTCGTCGATGAAGAGATTGTGCTTTTCTTGTGCGAAGAGAGAGGATCCCGATTTGCTCTTCTCGGCTAGCGATTGCTTGACAGAGTCCGGGAAAGAGGCGTTGACAGCATTTCCAGTGGCTCTGCTGATGGCTGTTAAGACTGCCAAGGCGTTGCTCTCGAAAGCCGACGATATGAACTCTGCTAGGCCTTGGTTCGCGGCTAACGGCACCATGTTAGCCTGCTTCTTCTCGCTACCTGCATTGAGAAGTTTGATGGCGACTGGGGCTGCGAGTGTTCTGATCTCGATGTCATCGTCGTTGCAGAGGTCATAGACCGCAATGCATAGTTCTAGAACAGAGTTCCCTGGATCGTTGTAGTTAAAGTATGCTAGAGACTTCTCTTCAAGCTGTTGCGTTGCTGTCACAGCCGCATATCTAGTATCGAATGGCTATAGGACTGTCAGCGGGCTATTCCTGGCCTGAAGATATGGTCCAACTTACGTNNTCGAGTCTTGCAGAGCAAGACAGACCTGCGAAACCCATCGTCCGAAATCTCCCGTGAGTCGATCATCCTTCAGCGAGTCATCTTGCGCGCGGAAGTTTAGTAGTGCTCCCTGCAAGATATGTCGTTTGTCACCGAAAAGCGGTGTCGCAGCACTTGTAGGCAGATACAATCCCTTGAAGCTAGTGTAGATGGCATTCTTCTCCACAGCACCTTGGGATAACAAGCTGACCAGGACTTCCTGAGCAGCATCCTGAACCTCGATATCCACGCTTTCATCGAATAAAAGCTTGGCAGAGACGTTAACCAGAAGCTCTGTGGTTTCTGTGGCATAAACAAGATCAGAAGCCCCAATTTTGGCAGCTTCACGTAATGCAGTCGTACAAGCGTCAGGGTCGCACGTGGCCAGCAATTTGAAGGTTTCGACCCTTGCTGTCATATCCGCTGATGAATTGTCCTTCGAAAGTCCGCTGAATAAGGCGTGCTCGTGGATTAGGGATAGCGCCAAAGACTGTCGGAGGAACGAACATGCTGCAAAATGATCTGGAGGCAGATCCAGGACCATGTTCAGATCCTCAACCGTAGCCCATCTTGTGCCTGGCACNNTTGCGAACATCAGTCTTGTAGTCCGTTAACAAGCGAGACAACACGTACCGAACAGATATCGCTGCTTCTGGATAGCCGAGTAGAAGAAAACGTTTTGCACGTCCACGAATGCCGCCTGTGTAAGCGGACATGCATTGTCGTAAAGGAGATCATCAATCCTTGACTGGATAACAGTCACCACTGTATCCAAATCTGCACTTGTCAGCAACTTTTCGCCAGAGTATTTACTACTTGACTGACCTTCGGTGCTGAAGTTTTTCCCTTGTCTTTCGATGAGGTATTTGACTGCAAGTAGAGTGCCATGTACCTCATTCTGACTACGAGTTTCATGTCGGAGCAGCTCTGCGACACGACTTACTCGGTCGGTGACAGGCACCAAAATGGAGTATGTTTTGGCTGCTTTATCGCGAACGAGCCATTGCCTATTAGAGGCCAGCCTCAACACCGAAGACTGGATCCTCTCGGACATACTCGAAGGCGGTTGTACGCGTTGGAGGAGTTGCAAAGCAGGGAATACCACCTCAGCCTTGACTTGGTTGACATCAGTGTCAGTTGACAGCAACTGGAGAACAACATGCATCAAACTCGTGATTGCTTCGTCCGAGAGTCGACTCTGTATGTGTGTATCCTCCTCCGAGAATGCGTCGTTTGTACCAATCAATCTATCCATAAGGGCTCTGAAGAGCATCAATCCAGAGTTTCTGACAGCCCNATCTGACGTGAGAGTTAGTACAGTCTATTATATGCGCCAATGACGTTGAACATACGTGTTCGAAGACAAGCACTCAGCTGCAAGACTGAGTGCTTGCGGCACATGTGCCTCTGATCGCTCGCCCAACCTCGAGTTCTTGAAGATATCCTTTATGCAATTCAAAGCATGGACTTGAGAAAGGCCGCCAGCACTTTCGGCAATTTTCTCGACAGGTCTTGTGCCTTCTCTAGTGAGATCTGACATGGCTCTACCAAACAGGAGACCCTTTGTATCTGCAACAACAATGCCGATCATCAAAGATGGTATCCCTGCAGAGCGACGGGTATTGATCGCGGTCTGATTTTGGATGCAGAGGATGGCACNGCTAACATTCGTCAGTCGAAAGCTCTTATTCTTGTGACAACAGATTTTAGGTACCTGATACCAGTCCTCAAGATCTTGGCTGACGGTGATTGCACTACTGTTGGAGCGCATGCAGCAGACGACAAAGGTTTGAGCGACAGTTGAGAAAGCACCACGATGACGCAGCTCTGCAAGCTGTGTGAAAGTGAGATCACCTAGCTGACGAAGCTGCTGAGGAGAGAGGAGTTCGTGGTTAAGCGAAGTAAAGGGACAATCTTTCACGATAGCTCGCAATAGCAGGCTAGANNTGGTCAGCGCAATCTCAAACTGAATGTCGCAGTATGAAGCTCACCTAGATTCCTTGAGGGCCCGCCATGAGTAACTCAGAACATCCTTCGTCCCAATATCTTCTTCCTCAAGCTCTTCAGCGGCAACACCTTCGGTAGTATCATTACACAGTGTGTCATGTACACAATTCCAGAGAGCCTCGAAGACATTGTAAAGTCGAGTGTAGAGCTTCTGTAGTTGCGACGAGGCAGTAAGATCGGAAGACATAAACTGATAGAAGCCAGACTTTTCAATGATGTATCTGGTGGTGTCAGTATATGGATCGGCAGATTGCAGACAGCTATTGTACCTCAGACTGATGAACAGGCCGTGCAGAGGGTTCTCGCTGATTGCTCTGCTGATGTCTACAACGGCGGTTTGAACCGTCTGTTCGACGTTACGAACGAGGTATTCCAGCATCGTACATTTGGAAGTCCACCACTGCTCGCGATCACTGGTCAGTTCTGAACATTGACTAAACAGGATGCTGTAAAGGTGCGCAACACCATCTGCATGGTCAGCACGTCCACTGAGGACCAACATATTCTCCGCTTGCGCGAGGACTTTGACCAGTTCAGGCGTCTCTTCTACACTGCCTTGCTGCTGTGAGTCAGAGTTCACGAGACTCAGAATTTCTGCAGCCGTAAGTCTGACATCGTCAAATGCGTCGAGAAGCAGATCAGTCAGTAGCTCAGTCATCTCTCTGTCAATCACGTTCAAGGTGAAGGGCCATGCCGCCATGCCACCTGTAGATTTTGCGGACAAAGTGCCGGCGATTCGAGCATCGACTCCAGACTTGACAATGATATGGACACACCTGAGCGCTGACACATGCCTCTGGTAGCTGGCTGTCGGCCGCATTTCGGCTTTCAGAAATGAGATGTACCACTCAACGAAGGATTTGTGGGCTGTGATTAGCTCGGAAGACCCGATAGATGCTGACAGAGAACCGACAGCGTCGTTTGTGTTAGTTTTCCTCGTCTTGCTCGGCGCCTTTGTCAAGGTCGCTGTTGCGGCCTTGATGCGATCCATCAGATGCCGGATCAGACTGAACAGCTCGCTGCGGAATCCTGCGTCTGCATCTGCATGGAGTAAAGGCAAACCTTTCTGCAAAGCACCCATTGACCCGATAGATAAAGGCTGGGTTGTCGTTGTGGACGTGGTAAGCATGGTAAGACCCGCTATTCTCACAGTGTCAGACGTACGTAGCAGCAGGTCGCCGAGTAGGACATCTGGGATGCATAGAACATCTTTATCAAAGAACAACTCAACACTTCCGGTTAATTGACCAACATCTGCAATCTTGACCAGACCAAGTTTGCTTCCTATGGACAAAGCACAGAACAGAATTTCCTCGCATTGTGCTGTTGGAAGCGGCAACGAAACTCCAGAGGATTGAACTCTCCCGAGGGTACTTTGTATGCCTAGCTGGCCTAAAAATGCAACAAAGCTTGGCTTGTCCTGCTGAAATATCTCTGGGAACACATATAGTCGAAAAATGCCGAGAGACTGTGGCTTCTGCTTGAGGATGTTCAAAACAGTGGAAGACCATAATGAGTGATGATTGCCGAAATCCAACGGTGATGAACTTCTGGTTGCGGGGGTTTGTGACTTTTGAAGTATCAAAGCAGCTAGCGAACCAGCGGAAGAGGCGAAGTCTTCGTATGGAGCGAGACCTAAGACGATAGCGAGCATGTCTTCAACCGAAGCAGGCGAGGACTGCTTGTCACTTCCTGTCAAGGTTCTACCAAAAGTGCTGCACAGCTCATCGACAGACACTATGTTCTTCGAAAGCCAGTGGGCTAGTGCTTGCATGGCAGGCCTGGTAGGAGCGTTCTCGGACGGAGTGGCAATGTATCGGATAAGTGATTCTAACATGTCGGGTTTTTCAGATTCACAGTTGGATCTGTCCGGACATTTGGTGAGGGCGGAGGTCAGAGAGGTCAACAACAGGCGTGACGGCTTGACGTTCAGAGCATGGTGCTGATCCAGATAGACTCCAAAAGCATGGCGCCAGAATTTTTCAGTTTGCCAGAGTAGAAGAAGAAAGCCATGTTCCTGGGATTGGTTACATTTCTCAATCAGATTGGAAAGTAGATTGCATGCAGCTGTTCTGTGTTGATTGGTAATGTCTGTCCGCAGGGTTGAGAACACTCGACGAAAAAGATCGGTTACTCTTTCTTGAATCAGCTTGAGTAGAGGATGAGACAACAAAAAACTAAAAAAGAAAGGTGGATGATTGTTGGAGTAGTAGCTATCTTACCTTGTAACTTCCTTATGCAAAATATTCTGATCAACTTGACGAGGGACCAGACTCGCACCATTCAAGGTAATTTGACGAATCTCATCTTCGGACAAAGGAGCGGCCATTGACTGTTCTAGCTCTCGAATTGACAAGAGATATATGTCGAACAACAACAAGTATCAAACAAGAGGTATTTAGCTCGATTGCTTGACCATTTTCTCTGCAGCTGCTTTGCGGGCAGAAGCGATGATGTTTTCCGCACCATCGCTCCTGCCCGACATCGGCGAGCAGCCGACGATAGGCCAATCAGACGGCAGATAAATTGATTGCGGAGACTGACTCGCGCACATACGGGAAAGTTGATCTGGAGAGCTGCCAGTCACCTCGACCGTCGCCGCCTCCCAGTTCTTTCCCATCCAAGCATTGAATCTAGCAGGTGACAATCATGTTGTCGTCGCGTATTGGAGCAAAAGCCGCGAGGTCGTCGTGGACCTCGCGCGCACAACTGCGTGTCGCGTACGTTGTTTGACGACCGAAGCCTCGACCCGCCGACAATAAACTGACACGCTCGTCTTAGNNCCCTTCTGTCGCCCAGACTCTCGCCTCCAGACAGTATGCCGCCACTGGCCCTGGCGAGGACAAGATCTTCCAGCACATCAAGCTGGATAAGGATGCCCTCAACAAGACCAGTGCCATCATTACCCAGCCCAAGGCCCACGGTGCCTCGCAGGCCATGCTGTACGCCACTGGCTTCACCGACGAGGACATGAACAAGGCCCAGGTCGGTATCTCGTCTGTCTGGTACTCTGGAAATCCCTGCAACATGCACCTGATGGACCTCAGCCACAAGGTCAACGAGGGTGTGCAAAGAGCCGGACTCAAGGGTATGCAGTTCAACACCATTGGTGTCAGTGACGGCATGTCCAACGGAACCACTGGTATGCGCTACTCGCTGCAGTCCCGCGACATCATTGCAGACTCGGTCGAGACCGTCATGGGCGGTCAATGGTACGACGCCAACATCTCTCTCCCTGGTTGCGACAAGAACATGCCCGGTGTCATCATGGCTATGGGAAGAGTCAACAGACCTTCCATCATGGTCTACGGAGGTACCATTGCCGCCGGATGTGGTCAGATGTCTGACGAGAGACTCGACATTATCTCGGCCTTCCAGGCTTACGGCCAGTTCATTACTGGTGAGATCAACGAGGATGAGCGCAAGGACATCATCAAGCACGCTTGCCCTGGAGGTGGTGCTTGTGGTGGTATGTACACTGCCAACACCATGGCTTCCGTTATCGAGGCCATGGGTATGTCTCTTCCTGGATCTTCCTCCAACCCTGCCATGTCCAAGGCCAAGCAGCTCGAATGTTTGGCTGCCGGTGGCGCTATCAAGAACCTCCTCAAGGAGGACATCCGTCCCTCAGATATCATGACTCGTAAGGCTTTCGAGAACGCCATGACTGTCGTCAACATCACTGGTGGTTCTACTAACGCCGTCCTCCACTTGATTGCCATGGCCCACTCCGTCGGCATCACCCTTACCCCTGACGACATGCAAGCTGTCAGTGATCGCACTCCTCTTCTTGCCGACCTTAAGCCTTCCGGCAAGTATGTCATGGCTGACCTCTACGACATTGGCGGTACCCCCGCCATCCTCAAGTTCCTCTTGAAGGAGGGTGCCATTGACGGTAGTGGTATGACTGTTACTGGTAAGACCATGGCTGAGAACCTCGAGAACGTGCGTGACATGCCCGAGAGTCAAAAGATCATCCGTCCTTTCAGCAACCCCATCAAGAAGACCGGTCACATTCAGATCCTGTATGGCAAGATCGCCCCTGGTGGCAGTGTCGCCAAGATCACCGGAAAGGAGGGTACTCAATTCACCGGCAAGGCCAGAGTCTTTGACGGAGAGGATGGTCTGATCGAGGCTATTGAGGGCGGCTCTTTCAAGAAGGGCGAGAAGACTGTTATTGTCATCCGTTACGAGGGTCCCAAGGGTGGACCCGGTATGGTTGAGATGTTGAGACCTTCTTCCGCCATCATGGGTGCCGGTCTTGGTAACGACGTTGCCATGCTGACTGACGGTCGCTTCAGCGGTGGCAGTCACGGTTTCCTCATTGGTCACATCGTCCCTGAGGCTCAGGACGGTGGCCCTATCGCTCTCATCAAGGACGGCGACACCATCACCATTGATGCCGAGAAGAGAGTCATCGACACCGACGTCACCGAGGAGGAGATGCAACAAAGAAAGCTCAGCTGGAAGGCACCGCCTCTCAAGTACCAGAAGGGCACTCTTTACAAATACGCCAAGATCGTCCAGGATGCCAGCCATGGTTGCATCACGGATGCATGAACGAAACGCTGATGTATCATACTGCACGTTTGTAATTGCATAGCTGTTGGTTTTCTTCTTGGGGGACTGGGGATTTTGGCGTTTGATAAAGGTAGGGGAGATGTAGGTATTGTACAGCTTCATACCATCTCAGAAAAAGTTCATTTTACCTTCCATCTTCTATTGCACAACCTTCTGGTGTTCCTCTTTATATTGCTTTCATCTCCTATCATGTCTCGATACAGAAAGAAAACAGTGTCAATGGCTCCTGCCTGATCCAACCACATCTTCCCCGCACTTGTCCTGCGAAGCAAGTATGCTCTTCGACTCGTGTGTTTTCTCTTCTGCCATCGTCTTCCCGACCATCCTCGAATCATCTGGCGTCTGGTCGCTGATGGTGTTGCTGGAAGGTTGGAGTCTTTGGGAGATTTTGGTTTCTCCAGCTGGCTCTCATACTGATGACCCAAATTGAGAACGCGTCAAAGCATGCGAGCTTCTCCGGTCCCTGATATCTGGATATCATATCTTCTCGTAACCGTTACCAACGTGTGAACTCGAGCAACAGGCTATGAAACGGAGTTCTATCGAGACTATGGCCATCGAGGCATTGCTACAAAGGACTGAATGGTGTCGATAGAGAACTTTCTGCGCAGGTTGATGGACAACTACAAAGCTGATTTCGGAATAACTATTCAGGACCGGATGGATTTCCAAAGATTCTTTTCTTTGTCGTCACCGATGGCCACAGGTTCCTAATCCGAATATCCGCCATGTCGCCAAGACGACCACCGCAATTGAGGGTTGATAAATCACGGAATTGCTTTGTTTCATGTAGTGGTCCGTTGGCGCAATGGCTTGCCATTAGCATCATGCACTGGGTTCGATCCCCAGGGAGACCGCTATGTCTGAGCATCAAGTCTTATCAATTGACCCGTGCCCGCTCGGAGCGGAATAAAGGCGGTTGGTGAGACGAGATGGGAGGTCCTTTTTTTGCGCATATCCTATTACTCTGGATGGAGTTGTTTCTGTGTATCGCCTCTCTACCTTGCACTGACATTGATATATTGTTTTCCTCCATCTCAAACTACTCTGGTGTTGGTCGTCCATGAGACAACGTGCGAGATCCTACCTTCAATTCACTTCTCGCAACCGCGCAGTTGTTTACAAACAAGTACAACCATCATTTCTCCACTCGAGTTGAAAGCGTGACCTGACATCTCTCGTAGTGTTCTTCACGCTTCGCTTATAATCCTTGTTTTAGCGGTCACTTTTGCGTTCAGCATCGACACTCCTGTCTGACCTTTTCACAACCAAAGCACCATTTTCTCATCCTCTCAATTCCCACTGCGCTGTGCCATCTCATTACTCCCGAACACCATCTTTCTCGATTCGCTTGGGTATTTCTCTTGTCTTACGCATCACTCTCTCTTGCCGATACTGTTGTGTACCACATACAAGCGCAGTTATTTCTCACAAGACTTGAGCTATCTCTCAACACGCGTCGATTTGACCATCCATCAACAAACACCTCAACATCACAACATCTCACTCTTCATCGCGTTCGCTCAACTTGCGCACCAGAATGTCAAACAACCAGCCCCCTATAACTTACCCTCCTGGCGCTGTACCAATCATTCGCCCGACCATGGCTTCTCCCAGCATTCCTACTGGCGCTCCTCCACAACCGGCTCTGGCCCCTGGCGTCTCTCTCGATCTTCTGCAAGCACTTTCAGTACAAGGACCTCCTCCAATTCAACGTCCTGTCTTTGCTGCTCCCAGGAATGCCCCTATGCCTGCTGGCTACCCGGCTCCCATCTATGTCAGCCCCACTTTGATTCGTATCAAACACATGACAGAGACGTTCCACGCCGCTGCGACCAACGACCAGACGTTCTACAACATCTACTGTAGTGTGAAAAGCGCTCAAAGCCACTACGCCGCATATCCAGACCTTGTATTCTTCCTCAGACTCCATCTCCAGGTCGGCTGGATCGATCTTCTTGAGCGTCACCATCGTCAGCATGAGATCGAAGGAGACACTACTCGTCTGATTAGCGAGCGCAAGGAGCTCATCGGATGGCTCGTCAAGCGAGACAAGACCCTCAAATCTCGCGCTGGTCAATACCTTGCTGATCAGTTGGCCAAATTTGCTCCACTCAACTTTGTCCCTAGCCAGGTTAGACACCTCAGCGCCCTCCTCGATCACCTATACGTGCTCGAGGACGATCTCTTCTTTAATCGTAAGGCGACCCCTGCACCAACCAGACAAGAGTACCGCATTCAGGTTGTCACGTATCTAAAATACGAGGGAGGCGATGCCCAGATTGTCAAGGACGTCAACATCTGGAAGAAGACTAGTTGGTCTGTGGTGCAGAACATGCTGTCTAGCCTGACTCAGAACATCCAGGCTGCTCAATTCGCCTACAACTGCGGCTGGCAAGAGGGTGGCTACCACAGTAACTGGACTTACTGGGCTACTGAAAGCGGGGTTCCCGAGGGATGGAGCTATGAATTGTGCTCTGATGCTCACTTGGAGGAGATGAAGGGATTGTTGGAGCAGGGAAAGAAGATCTACATCATGCACGTAAGTCACATACGAATCACTAACAGTTCACTACCATGTTCCATTTCCTCACGAATCTTTCCCCCACTCGTCACTTATCCTTCACCTATCTTCCAATCTTGCCCCTGATATGCAACATCTCCTTGGATTTTCCTACTTCTTCAAACACATTGCTGACTTTCGATGGTATACAGNTCTAAGCAGGTGGAGATTGGAGAGAATCTGCAGGTGGCAGATGCCCTGGGCCTGGGGCTGGACCGCCCCTTGGAGTGCTGTGCCCCACTTCCTCCGGGCTACAGCTCCGTCATCGTGGGAGAGTATCCCAGCAAAATGGAATTCTCTCTCCTGAGCGGAGGCTCGGCAGGTGGCGGTCCGGCTCCNCCTATGGAGCACAGGAANGGGCAAGGTTCGGTGCTGGCTTACCAGCACCAGGTCTGGCTGCGCAAGCAGAAACAGAAGAACCAGAAGGCCAGGGCCTTCGAGATCAGAGGCAAGAAGGCCTGATTTTGTTGAGTTGCGGCAGAAAGATGATTGGGTCAGATAATGAGATGACGAGATGAGATGATCAACGAATGATGTATAGAGTAGAAAAAAGCACAGAAAATGAGCAGAATCAATGTTTCGAAAGCAATCAAGCATTCTCAACAAGCTATCCAAAGTCACGAATGTATCGCTAGACCATACTGCTTCCAGAGAGATCCTTGTTTCACGACCATCTCACCGGACACATCCTAAAACTGAACTAGACTGTGCGTTTGTGTAGTGATATTAGATGCAGTTGAACTCTTAGAGATACGAAGGGAGGCCCCTGAGCAAAAATCTACAGCTGTGTATTTCAAAGGCAGTGTAGCATGCTAAACAAGCTATCAAAACTCACAGTGATATTGAGGTAGTGTGTGAAGTCGATTGAGAGGTTAATCTCGGTGCTCAGTGCTGTTTCAGTGGACCCAACTCAAAGTCAGACCACTTTGTGCATTTTTATAGCTATATGAGATGCAGGCAGGTATTCATGAGACTACGAAGGAGACGTCGTCCACAAAAGTCCGGGGTCGGGATGGATATTCTGCCGCGAGTGGTGGACCAAGCGTCACTCAAAGTCGAGTCACCGCCTTTGCAGTCCCGCGTTCCGAGCAACAACTTTAGTTTGCGACGGCCTCGAAAGCAGCCCGTCGCGCCTTCCCTCTGCATTCACCTCCATATACAACTCTCGCTCTTCTCACGCCATCGCCTTTGCGCGTCTACTATACGCTTCCACTTCTTCTCTCGACCCGCAACAACACCACACAACACACAGCAAACATGTCCGACTACGGCGACGACGGCGGCGGTGACTTTGGCGCCGGCGAGTACGTCCAACTCTCCACACGCCCACCCACGGCATCCCACTAACACACCTCACTCAGGGAGTATGATGCCAACATGCTCGAAGAAGACTACGAAGAAGTCGAGGACCTCGTCGACGACAACAACGACCCCACCGGCGGCACCGAAGACCCCGAGAACAACGCCAACATTGTCACAGCCGGCGACCCCAACGCCGTCGCACGCGCAAACGCAAACCTGGGCGTCAAGGGCTTGAAGGAGAAGAGAATCGACAATGACAAGAGAACCACCACGCCGTACATGACAAAGTACGAGAGGGCTAGAGTCTTGGGAACGAGGGCGCTGCAGATTAGGTGAGTTGCTCGGAAAATGAAAGATTGAAGGAGGAGGCATTTTGGAAACGAGGGAAGGGCATGGAAGGAGCACGAACAAGACGAGAAAGACGGAGATCTCGCGAAAGAGAAGCGAAAGAACTGGGCTGACAAGAGATTANNCAGCATGAACGCACCTGTCCTGGTCGACGTCGAGGGTGAGACGGATCCCCTGCAAATCGCCATCAAGGAGTTGCGCGAAAAGAAGATCCCTCTGGTTGTGCGCAGATACCTTCCCGATGGCTGGTACGAGGACTGGACCTGCGAAGAGCTTCTCTGAGCATTTCGTCTGCTCTTCAGCCACTTATCCCATGCATCTATACAAACACTCAACCACCCATACACCACACAACATACCTGCGAACCAAAAAGCAACCTGAGCCTCGAGCCTCACACGAACGACTTTTGCTGGAACACGGCTACCCCAACATTCACCATCGGCTCCGCTCCATAACATGCATCGACCGACCTCCACACATTGTCTCTCTACTCTCGAACCCTCTATCCTTTTGGTCGGCTTGTTCTTGGTGGTTGTTTCAGATTCTGCCTCTTTCCAAGGACAAGCAAGCCCACATTATCGTCGATTTTATGCATTTGAGCAGTTGGGGAAAAGAGTTCAAGAGGGAGGGAGACATCCCGAAAGAGCGTTTGGGGCTTTTTTTTTCGCGAAATCTATGAACATCAACCATTCAAAAAATCCGAAAAACAATTGCATTGAACCACCCGTCATTCTGCTCGCATAAATGTCTATGATCACAAGAGTGGGATTATCTGACCGAGATATCAACGTGAAAGACTCGAGAAGCCAAAGAGTCATCTAAAACTGTGAGGATTCGAATGCTTTTTGCTTTCTTGCTTTTTTCCCCCTTACTCTGTGCTTACGATAAGAGTGATGTCAGAAAGATATATCGGCCACTCCTCCCAAAGAGTGAAAGATATTGTGCGTTACCAAGGAAAGCGCTTTGCTATGCTAGCACTCTTTCAACAGCAGCAAGGGAACCAAGAACAAGAAAGATCATCACAAAAACAAAACACACCAAAAAAAAAAAAAAAAACAACTGGACAAGTGAGACAAAAAGAAAACTCTTGTGACTTGGAACAAAAAGTCAGAGAATGTCATAGAGGAAGCGTCTAAGGTGGTTTATGGAAGCAATCTACTCTTCATCCTCACCCTCGGAATCGTCTTCCTCGCTGCCGTCTTGACTGCCATCTTCTTCTTCTTCTTCGTTGTCGTCCTCATCTTCGTCATCATCATCATCACCTTCGATGTTTTCGAGTCCGTAATCGTCTTCAAAGTCAGACAAAGACTTGACTTCGGGCTTGAAACCGGCGTCTGTGAAGGCCTTGACGAGGTTCTGTGGAAGCTTGTTAGCAATGGAACTTTTTTCGTTTGATTGTGATAGTATAAGACATACCTCTTCCATAATAGTAGCGCAAGTGACGACCAAGTTAGTAGACTCGGGATTGAAGATGGGCATGATGAGTCTCTTGAGCACATCCTTAATCTCTTCCTCGCTGACCTTTCTAACCTTCTCCAACATTGCATCGTTCCAGTTCTTGGGGATACCTCTGATGACTTGGTTGACAAAGGACAAGTTGGCGGCACTACCCATAGTGGGTTGCTCATCTGCGAACCCCATGATGATGCTGCTGACGGCACCTTCCAAAGCAAACTTGTCAANGGGCGTAGCGCCAGTGGCGTAGTTTTCGACTTCCTTCTTGGCAGCGAGGAAGGCCTTGAAAGTATCGGGTGAGCGGTAGATACGTAGGGTAAGCAAGCCGACATCGGTAGAGCGAGAGAAACCGGTGCCGTAGGCGAGACCCGTGCCACGGACTGCTGCCCATAGAGGACCTTCGACGGCATCGAGGTACGACTGAGCGACCATGAGAGCGGGTAGATCGGGATGAGACCAGCTGTCCGGACCGCGAGAGGTGAGAAGGGCATATGAGGAGTCAATAGTGGACAGAGGAATAATGTAAGCTGTGTTGCCAGGGTTCTTGGAGATCTCGCTGAGCTTGGATTTACGGGAGTCAAGGGGTTGCAGGGGAGTATCGTCGTTGTGGTTGCTGAGAAGAGACTTCCAGGCTGAGACGGGGTTCGAGAGGTTGTGCATGTTTGCAGCGACGTAGACTCTGAAGTTGGAAGGCTTGTGAAGTGTGTCGATGCAGGTTTGCAGGCGTGAGATGACCGACTCTGGGTCCTTCGCCAAGTGCTTCTTCAGGCGCTTGAGGTAGACGGACTTGACGAGGGTGTTTCTGGAGCGGCTGCTCGAGTCTCTGGTGAGGTGAATCATCGAGTCTACTGCAGTAGCCATATCCATACCGCTTCGCTTCTCATCAGGGATGTCGGCGAGCATCTTGGTAATGGCGGTCTGAAGTCTCTCATTGTCCAAGACGGAGCTGAAGAGAGTGGTGCGCAGCCAATCGATCATGGCAGAGTACTTCTCGGCCTCGACTTGGAAGGTAATCTGCAGAAGCTCGCCATTGCCTGGGCCTGAGGTGATGTCGTAATCTACAGTGTCCTTCTCGAGTTCGGTGACAACATCCTCAAACTCGATGCGCTTTCCATCGCGGGTGATGGGGGTCATGAAGAAGTTTGAGAGATATACGGCAAGCAGAGGTTTGAGCTCAGTAGGCAGCGAGCCAGTGCACATGACCAGCTTCGTGCGAACAAAGTTGGACGGGATGTGCTCGAAATGAATAAAGAGGGGAATGTCAGAATCGTCCTTGTCGACAATCTGCTGTATGCCGTTGTCGAGCTTGCCCATCTGCCTAGCTCTGCCAGCTCTAGCAGTTGTTGTCGGAATGAAGTGGATGGACGAGGTTCCAGGTACTGGGAACTGCGAAAGTACCTCATCTGGGATGGGCTTGTCGTTCTCAGCTTTGGCTTGCTCCAGCTTTTCGGCCAACTCCTTGAGTCCCTTTTCGCCGAGTCTTTCCTTCTGTGCTTTGACTCTAGCCTTCTCATCGGTCTTGAGCTTCTTAGACAATTCCTTTGAAGGCAGACCGAGTATAGACACGTGATGGGCTTCTGCGAACCATGTTGAAAGGTAGGCTCTCCACTGCTGGTCCGACCATCCTTCGAGGACGTCCAAGTCTTTTAAGGTTTCCAGTTCGCGGAGATCCTTGCCGTCTCTGCTGCCGAACAAGTGATCCTCGATAATGGGTGTGGCAAAGAAGTCTCCTGTGCTCTCACACCTGAACTTGAGTTGTCTGCGGTAGCGACTGAGACAATCCTTCATATAGCCCATGTCAAGGTTCTTGGAAGCGGTCTCCTTGAGAACCTCGAACAAGCGCTTCTCAGCATCGACAAGTTTCTCGGTCTCTACGGCACTCAGGTTGAACCAGAAAGCGATGTCGGGTCGCACATCAGTAGAGTAGTAGATCATGCTACACAGCTGTTCCTTTTCGACCAGAGTATTCTCCAGCACAGAGACGGAAGAGCCGCAAAGATAAATAAGCATGATTCCGAGGGCAGATGCCTGCAGATGGTCGTTGCAGTCGGGACCGAGGAAGCCGACAAGCACTTCACCCATGGACTCGTCATCCTCGGGGAATTTGACGGTGTCTACGATTGTCTTCTTAAGCGGTGGTGTGCGCTTGGACTCAACCCAGGGACGTTGGAAAGGAGTCTCGGGTGACGGGATATCGTCCATGATGGTACCTTCGAATTCATCGAGAAACTGCAAGAGTTCGGGTTGGTCGATCTCACCGATGAGCACGAGACTCAAATTCTTGGGTTGGTACATTTCACGGTGGAACTCTCTAATGCGGTCAGCCGTAAGAACACGGAGCTGTTCCATCATACCACCAGTCTCGTATCTGAAGCCATCGCCTTCAGGGTANNCCTAGATTATATTAGCTATCGGCACAATGCAATAGAACAAGTTTACTCACATCAGTCGTCTTGCCTGCAATTCCATAAGCTCTCCCTGCTGGTTCTGGACGCCTTGCATCTCAGAGTAGACGACACCAGCATCATGACCAGTACCATCAACATGGAAGACCTCGGTGTAACACCCAGCATCGGTCAAAGTGGGTACAAGCACGTGTTCGAGGTAGACGGGAAGAATCTGGGCAAATCCTTCCCAGCCAGCGGTCTCCAAGGTGTAAGCGGTGTGATCAGTGGCGGTCCAGGCGTTAGTGTTGGAGTAAGCACGAGTGGCGAGCTTGTCGAGAACACCCTTGTAACGATAGTTTTTCGAACCCATAAAGCAAAGATGCTCAAGAGTATGCGGCGAGCCGGAATCATCATGGATCTCTGTGGCTAGAGTGAAATAACCATAGACTTTGGGGCCTTTCTGATCGACCACGACGACGCGCATTCCAGTGCGCTCGGACTCATATTGAGCAATGCCAATAGGGGCATAGTCAAGCTTGAACTTTTGGATGGGTTTGAAGTGAGTTTGGGCTTTTGCGGCAGGCATGGTACAGCGGTTGAAGCAGCTCGAGGCCGCAGGAATGAATTGGTGAGACTTTTGGGCAACGGCAGCCTTGGTATTAAGCCGACGGAAAAGCGTGAAGGCCAGGTGTGCAAACGAGGGAGTGAGTCTGCAGAAACGTATCCGATCTCGAAAAAGATGCAAACGAGATGTAACGAGGTATTGCTACCAACAGGCTCGCCTCCAAGACCTCATCATCTCTTCAGAACGTGTGGCCTTGCGGCATCCACTTTCATGACGCTAACTAGCGGACCGGCCCGCGCGCCTAATGACAGGCTGGAGCTTTCTTGAAGCATCAACGTCAGCGTGTTGATGACAGTGTCGCGACAATGTCGACCAACGATCAGCTCAAACAGGCTATCGTCGACAGTGTCGAGCATGGCGCCTATCCCGAGCCCGACATCTCGTCAGCCGAAGTGCCCTCAACCCTCCTCCCCGCCCTCCTAACCGACCTCCAGCAAGCCCGCGATGAAGTCAAGGTATCGAGTGCCATCTACTCTGTCTGTGAATAGCGTCTGACATACAGAACTAGNACAGACATACGGAGTCTGAGCAAAGACATCGCGCCCGACGTTGACGGATGGATCGCCCAAGCCAAGAAGCTCCAAGCCGACATCGAACGATCCAAGGCCACAGCAAGGGACATTGTCGCCCAGGCCGAAGCTGGAAAGCAACTGAAAGAGAAGACACATGATGCTGGAAACAAGGTCGGCTTACTTGAGAAGGAGGTCGCTTTCAACGAGTCTCTGGCCACAACCTTGGAACTGATTCGCTCCTCCTGTCGCATCCTTGACCGGGCCGATCAAGCATACGTCAACAACGACTTACGCACCGCTCTCGACCTCACCAAGCAATGCGACTCCTCTATTGCTGCTCTATCGGCCGTTCAGGATACTAGGGCCGTTGGTCTTTTGCAAACACGCAGCTCACGCTTCAAGGCCAACTTCCTGGACAAGACAACCGCCCTCGCCCAGTCCCTTCTGCAATGTGACATCGACGCTCGCTCCGTGACCATCAAGGGAAATGTTCCCGAGGTGCCAGCTGTGGACTTGGAATTGATCGTGGACATACTCACTTACCTCGGCGGCCTGGACATTTACATCAGGCGCTTGAAGCGTGACATTGAATTTGCTCTCATCAACCCTCGTCTTTCTACAAAACCCGGCCAACATACTGTTCTCCAGCTTGACGGTGCTTGTATTAGTGTTTCAGACACGAGCTCCAAACCCGATACAATTGCTACATTGGACGACATCTGGACAGCCCTACATTTCTTCTCCACCCATCTACCAAAATCAGTTTGTGAGCCGCTGTCTCAGAAACTACTGCCGTCTTTGTTCGAGACTCTCACTTACAGTTGGCTCGACCAAACTGTCCCTGTGCAGATTGAGCAGATGCCTGTCTTCCAACATATTCTGGATCGTGTGTCCAGGCTAGCCGAACAAATCGACGCCCTAAATTGGTCAAACACCGTTCTCTTGAAGGACTGGGTACAGAATGCCCCCAGAACATGGCTTTCAAAACGCAGAGAGACAGCTCTAGGCGCAGCAAGAAGCCTACTCTTCTCTCGTCTCAGAGACAGAAAAACTGTCGAAAGAGTCGAGACGCAGACCGTGTCCAAGGGAGATGCCATCATTGGTGGTACCGACATCGATGAAGCAGATGATGCTTGGGCCGCTGATTGGGAAGAAGATGCACCAGAGACGAAGGAAGTCGAGATCAAGAAGCCCGTACCTACAATCAGTGACGACGACGATGACGCCAGCGCATGGGACATGGATGAGGACGACACAAGCGTGCCGACAGAGTCAGCTGGTACTAAAGCCAGTGGAGAAGACGCCGAGGAAGACGATGCGGCGGATGCTTGGGGTTGGGGTGACGATGAGCAAGTCACAGAGGAGACATCCAAGCCAGATTCACCGAAGAAAGCGGCAAAGGCTTCCACGACGAAACAGCCCACATCATCTGGTGACAGAGAACTCACCCTCAGAGAGACATACACGGTGACAGCGGTGCCGGACGGTATGCTCGAGATTATCACGCAAGTCGTGTCGGATGCCGAAATCTTGACAGATCCAAGCTATTCAGGGTCACCCATAGGACCGGCGGCCTCCGCGCTGTACACGCTACCGACATTCGTACTCGCCATGTATCGAGCTACAGCTTCCACGGCTTACGGCAAACTGGACTCTGGCAACATGCTGATCTACAACGATGCGTCTCGTCTAGCTGATCAGATTCGCTCCTTTGTCAACAAGCAAGCAGAAAAGGATGCAACCTCAACCTTGCCAATGCATCTACGACCATCATCACGACTCAGGCTGGACAATGACATCAAAGCGTTGGAGACGTTTGCAAAGAGAGCATACAGCGCCGAGATGGAATCCCAACGGACCATTATCCGTGATATGCTAGACGGAGCTCAAGGATTCTCCAACTGCAACGCGGAGCCATTCGCAAGTGCGTGCGAGAGTGCGGTCAGCATCACCGAGGGACGTCTGCGCGACGTGCACAAGCAATGGACGCCAATCCTGTCACGATCTGCCCTGTTGCAGTCTTCGGCATCGTTGCTCAGTACAGTGTTAAGCAAGATGATCATGGAGATTGAAGAGATTCAAGACATTGGTGAGGAAGAATCGAAGAAGCTGCGGCAGCTGTGCGACAAGATGTCAGAAGTCAAGGATCTGTTCATTCAAGAGCATCCTCAGGGCGGAGAGGCGAGCGACATGACGGGAATCTACTGCCCGAACTGGTTCAAATTCCAGTATCTGGGGGAATTGCTGGAGAGCTCACTTGCGGATATCAAGTATTTGTGGACGGAGGGTGAATTGAGGCTTGAGTTTGATGCGGATGAAGTGACGGACTTGATCGAGGCGCTGTTCTCGGACAGTGATTACAGGCGCAAGGCGATTGCAGATATTAGGAGGAGCTAGAGTGGTCATTTGTGATGCAAGTGTCATGCAAAGGCGGAAGAAGCCAAGTGAGGTGGTGGAGGATGAGACATTCGTATTCAACCTTGACACGACAAGTTCTTTCAGATGTTGTGAGCTGGACTGTGCCATGCAAAAGAGAAAAGTGGCATAGAGTTTCCTGGTGTTTGTCTTTGTCGGGTCATGGGAATGTGGTGATGATGTCGATTCCCCACAGCAATCACCGAATCACGCAACAGAGCGGCAGGGGACGGGGCGGAGATGAGGTCGGCACAAGAATGAGAATGCCTGCCATGCATTGAAACGACGACAACGAGGCGCCGAGTCTCTGCTCACCATCTGGCATAGCAACAAGGACAAGACCAGCAACGACGACGCACGACAACCGCCGCGGCGCAACCTCCCCAGCCGCCCCGTTTCAGCCTCAGCCCTCGACCAGCATTATCGATAATAGTTCACACGCACGCAACCGAGAGAACAAGAGTCGGATGTTGGCAAGACTGGACTGGACGTACAGCATAGCGGACAAGCACGAGACAGGGGGTGCGCGACAGACAAGCGCATACCTCGATTAACGTATGCCACCCGCCGCCGCGAGAGCCCAAGCGGAGCTGCACCACCAAAAGACCAAACTCGCCAACTCGTACAGCGAGCTCCTCGAGTAAGACTGCGCCCACACGTGTGACTAGAATCTCAATCACTCACGCGACCATCAGNNCGAGTTCAGCAGCAAGGACCTCCGTACTGTCGGCAACTACGCCGTCGGCCGCCTGATAGGCAAGGGCTCATTCGGAAAGGTCTACTTGGCCTCGAACAAACTCATCAATGGCTCCAAGGTCTGTCGCCAACAATCCTTACATAAGCCCAACACCGCTGACCCTTACAGNGTCGTACTCAAGTCGGCCAAAAAGGACGACGCCAACCTCGCCCGCGAGATCCACCACCACCGCCAATTCCTCCACCCACACATCGCTCGTCTCTACGAAGTCATAGTCACCGAGTCGCTGGTATGGCTGGTCCTGGAGTGGTGCTCCGGCGATGAGCTGTACAACCACCTACTCGAACACGGTCGCATGCAAGAAAAAAAGGTTCAAAAGATCTTCACACAACTCGTTGGCGCAGTCTCATACGTCCATTCAAAGTCTTGCGTCCATCGCGACTTGAAACTCGAAAACATCCTGCTCGACAAGCACGGCAATGTCAAACTGGTCGACTTTGGCTTTACCCGCGAATACCAGGGCACTACTAGTTATCTGCAGACATGGTGCGGCACCGTCTGCTACAGCGCGCCAGAGATGCTGAAGGGAGAAAAATACGCTGGTGAAAAGGTGGACGTCTGGAGTCTGGGGATCATTCTATACGCTCTTCTGTGCGGAGAGTTGCCATTCGACGAAGACGACGAGAACGAGACAAAGCAGCGCATCCTCAAGGAAGACCCCAAGTATCCGGAATACGTTCCAGAGGGCGCAAAGGACCTTCTTTCGAAATTGCTGTCCCGCCGTCCCCTCCTACGACCACCGTTGGCCGATGCTCTCCGTCATCCCTGGCTGCAAGAATACGCTCCTCAGCAACAAGAGATTCTCAAAGTCTTGCAACCTCCGCCATTCAGTACCGAAGTAGAAAAGGCAACACTGCAACGCATGCGCAGCGCGGGTGTCAACATCGATCATGTCATTGAGAACGTGCTGGGACAAAGATGCGACCCACTGGCTGGCTGGTGGGGTCTACTGCTTGAGAAAGAGGAACGAAAAGAGAGAAGGCGATTACGGAAACGCAGAGAAAAAGAAGCAGAAGCGAGGAGTATCAGACGGTTGAGCGCATCCAGCAGTCGTCTATTGAATGCGCCAAGTCTAAGGGAAATCACAGAGGAAGAGCAGGCGCGACTGAGCATAGTTTCACCCAAGACTAGAGGTCGGGGCGTGAGCAGGTCTAGCGCTGCACCTCCCGACTTGCCCAGAGTGACCGAAGGCAAGACCCCCGAACCCGATGATCGACCACCGCCTCCTGTAGAAAAGGACCAGCGTCGCCGTTCGCTTTCGATTACGTCGTCGAGTTGTGGTCCTGCTCTACCGCCAAAGGATGTGCCCAGGAGACCGCGTGCCGCTAGCAGAGGCAGCTCTCAGCTACTCCAAGTCATACACACCAGAAACGACTTACTAGCCCCGCCGCCATTTCATCAAAAACTACGGAAACGACCATTCAAAGATCAACTCGCCCATCTCAAGTCCTGGTTCAAGACCAGCAGTGGAAAGTCGCAAAAGAAGGATATCCAAGAGAATCTCGAAGTACAACTGGCGACTGCTCGCAAAGCTTCGGCTTCGATGCCGTCGAGTCACCGGAGGGGTTCTGCTAATGATCTCCTGAAGGATCAGCGAAAGAGTCCGCGGCCAGACATGCCGACACGAACAACATATCCCATACGGCCACGTATATCCACTGCTTCATCCTATGGTTCTACAGGATCCCGGACCCATGGAGGCAATAGGCCGTCTCTTTCACCAGCACCGCTTACACCCCGCTCCTCCATCTACCGCCGCGGCTCAGGTCTGCGCGGCAGAAAATCGACTTCTTCTTCCGTGTCATCTGTTCGCAGTATTCACACTCACCACCATTCTCTTTCGCGCGCTTCCACCACCTCTTCAAACTCTGTGGCTTCTCCATCTCTCAGCACACATTCCCGCGCTATCTCAAGGTCACCACACACAAGTGGCAGTGTTGTGGTCTTGCCTCCTTCCACACCTACATCCTCGGTCACTGGCACTTTTCCATCGGGCATTCGAGTTGCTCGACGTCCTCCCCCTGGCAATCTCGGCACTCTACCTACCTTGTCCACTCAAACCCTGAACTCGCCCATGAATTATACCTTCGGTCCCGCATCTCCAGGCATGCACCCCGTGTTTGCNAAAAAGAAACGCAGTGTCTTCAAAGGTCCCAGTCTCGGCAATACACCCGGCGCACGTGGCAGAGGTTCCGGCAACAACTCTGGCGACAACAGCCGTGGTACCAGTGCTCAAGGCCGTCGCAGCAACGAAATCACCATCACCGAAGAAGACGAGGAGGAGGAAGAAGAGCAACAAAAAGAACCCAAAGACTTTTTCGGCAGCAAGATCACCTTGCAAGATCAGGGTATGAGACTGGTAGAAGAAGACGAAGAGGAAGATCTCGAAGTCGAAGAAGTGGAAAGTTTTTCACCCATTGAAGAGGGAGACACGACTGCTTTCATCATCGAGGAAGAAGAAGAAGAAGAAGATCCAGATGGCGATATCACTGTGATACCCAATCTAGGTGAAGATGAAGTCGAGGCCACTTCTTCGCCTGAGATGAGTAGGGATGCGAAGACTATCGCTGAAGACGTTTTGAGTAGAGATGTCGTCAAGGAGGGAGATACAGAGGAAGGGGATGCAAGTCTGGGCTTGGGCATTAGTGGCGCTGGGAAATAAGTGATGTTTGAGCAGCAAGCGATACAAAGTGTTTTTGGGTAGGTAGGCATAGCAAGGAATTCTGTAGTAATAAACAATAATCATCGAAGAGTAAGCAAGATTGATGGAGACATATTCCATTGAAAAAGAAGCCATGATGGATTGCTTGTAATCATGTTCTTTGTGTTTTTATAGCGTCTTTGGTTCATCGTAAGAAAGTAGGTAGTGTCCGTCGTCCCCATGTCTGCACATGTCGTGCTCCATGGGTAATGGTCTTGTTCGGCCTTGCTTTTCTGTATTTCCATGGTCCCTTCCAACAGCCGTCATTCGTGTTCGAGATATAGATACGGAAGGCGTGCTCGAAATACCCTGCCTTGGATTGGTGTCATACCCTTGGATAGGCAGCAACTGAAGTCGCTCGAATGAAAATGACCTCAAAAGCGCGCCTTCCTGACTCACCTCAACGAGATTCACAAAATCACCTCGTAGTCCATCGGAGCATTCGGCTTCACCATTCCTCTACACAATACTGCAAATTGCCCAACCATCACAATCTTCATCATGACCAAGAAGCACAACAAGCAGAGCTCCAAGCAGCAACCTCCTACAATCGCAACAAACAGAGGACTCAACACGCAACCCACAAAAGCAGACCAGAGAAATACCTCTGGCGCACCGATCTTCTTCTTCAAAGACGATGAAGAGCCATATGGGTTTCTGTGTCAATGGTATCGCTGCCGCTTCACAGATCCGGATTCGGGTCTCGAGTTTACTTGCGCCGAACAATGGATGATGTGGAATAAAGCCCAACTCGCCGGCGATGAAGCTTCTGCAAACGCAATAATGGCAACAACATCGCCTCGCAAACAGAAACAACTCGGTCGCGATGTTGAAGGTTTTGATGCTGAGGTTTGGGATAAGATTAAATTGGATGTGGTGGAAAGAGGGAATTACCTGAAGTTTAGCCAAGGCACCAATGTTGCGTCGATGAGGATTGATGATCAGGGAGAACCTGTGTCTCTCAAAAGTCTGCTGCTTGCCACGGAAGAACGAGAATTGGTGGAGGCATCCAGGTTTGACAGGGTATGGGGTATCGGATTTGATGCACAGCAAGCTCTGGCGACTCCGAGAGAGAAATGGGGCCAGAATTTGCTGGGAACTGCTCTGATCAATGTGAGGGAAAGAATTAGGAAGGAGGAAGTCGAGGTCTTGTGATTATGGGCATTCCTTTCCTTCTCCGTATCTCAGAGCCAGTCGCATCGCAGCCATAGAAATGCATAATGTGTCTTCAGCAAACAAAGTAGCATCCACTAAGAGTCGTGAGTTTGTCTTTTCTCTGAGCTCGTCTTCGTCCGTGTGACGACTGTGCATTTCCATAGCGTAAAACTTGCTGTGCATCGCCGAGGTCAGACGCAGAACAACGCACTTCCGGCTGTATTATGACATTGCACTAGAGCGCGATCAAGTAGACATCACACATTCGGTTCGTCAAGTAGAGGTAGTGAAGGGCGCGAACTGGTGCTCGCCAACTTGCGGTCAGGTAGCTCATGTCTCGGCCATCGTATCTGCAAGCGACAACCCATTCCTGACAACTTTGCGAGACCGTCGATCACCTTATACCTAGCGGGTAGGGTAGTGGTCGCATTGACGGCTGGAAACGAGCCAGAAAGAATTGCTTGTCTCCAACCACCATGTGATGGCGGCAATCTAGCACCTGTAGTGTGGCCATGTCCGAAGCCGAGTGCACAGCATGAAAGGTCTCGGCCAGTGAGTGACCTACAGCAATGCTCTTCGAGACTTCTCTGCATGTTGTGCGTCCTTCTCTGCAGCCACCTGAGCACGAGCCACAGGATTGGAGAAAAGCTTGGTCCCGGCCGGGGTTTATCGAGTCCTCAACTCGGCCGCTGGACACAACAGCATGCGATTAACCTGGAAGCGAAAAATTCTTGTTGCACTCGGATGTGTTTGTTTGAGCACAGTTCTGTAGTACACAATCGATTTTCTTGGATGTTGCTCGGTATCCAAACAAATGGTGTTGACAAGACGTTGAAAGACATTTCGTAGGATTTGATGAATCGTCAAACCGCGACTTTACCCGAATTCCAACATGAGAATAACCAAACCACACGCCCTATTAATTGTCTGGATGCGGGTCGATCTCTCTCCAGCTTCGAGCGCGTCCGTCAGCGAAATGTGTCACACAAATTCCTCTTCCTATCATAGGTCAATACATGATCGCTGTGGCCAGCGGCCAAAGTCGCTCTTGTCGTGGCATGCGTGGTTCCTTTTACAAACCCGGTGGCGCCGCCGACGATGCGCTTTAAAGATAGCGGCTTGCAGGGCCTAAAGCCTTTTGACGTAAATAAGGGTCGGTGACACGCTTGGAAAGGTGCATTTTGGTTTTTCGTACTCCAACCATTTGCGACTTGCCGGCTGTCGCATTCGCAAAAACTCGAAACACTTCTGCCGTCCCTTTTTTTTCTTTCCTTTTCGTAATACCACCGGATTCGATAGGACATCACAACAGGAGAGTCGGCGATTTCACACAGTCATGGAAGACGCCAAAGGCATTATTCCCAATGCTGGTGCATATCCGTCACCTTCAGATTCTGTCGCAACCGAAGTTGGTCAAAACTACAACCAGCCTAGATCATGGCCCGCACGCTTCGTCGACAGCTTCAAACGCGACCCAAATGCACACGCGACACCGCCAGGAACTGTCGGCTCGGATGGAAAAGTGTTTGATGTTGAGCAGGCAAATGCTGCGACGGCCGACTCTGGCTTGTCGAGGCACTTGAAGGGTCGTCATTTGCAGATGATTGCCATTGGTGGTTCGATTGGTAAAGAGAAACTTTGTGCTTCACCCATTAAGTTTTACTCACAAAAGCTTCANGGTACTGGTTTGTTCGTCGGATCTGGTTCAGCTCTTGCCAATGGAGGTCCTGCTTCGCTGGTCATCGCCTATGGTATTATCGGCCTGATGCTCTACTGTACCGTTCATGCCCTTGGAGAGATGGCCGTTCTGTTCCCTGTGGCTGGTTCCTTTTCTGCATACTCGACACGCTTCCTTGATCCGGCATGGGGCTTCTCTATGGGTTGGAACTATGCTTTGCAATGGCTAGTCGTGCTCCCTCTCGAGATCGTTGCTGCTACCATCACCATCCAATTCTGGAACGACTCGATTGACCCAAACGCTTGGGTTGCCCTTTTCTTGGTCGTAATTATCGCCATCAACCTCTTCGGCGTCAAGGGCTATGGTGAGGCGGAGTTTGTTTTCAGTATCCTGAAGGTTGTCGCCGTTGTTGGTTTCATAATTCTCGGCATCATCCTTGATATTGGAGGTGGTCCTGAGGGTGGTTTCATTGGTGGAAAGTACTGGCGNCAGTACGTACAGAACTACTCACTCACATGTAAGCTGGACTAACGTCTATCACTAGGTCCGGGAGCTTTCAACCACGGTTTCAAGGGTCTTTGCAGTGTGTTTGTGACAGCCGCCTTTGCCTTTGCCGGAACTGAGCTGGTTGGTTTGGCTGCCGCTGAAACTGCTAACCCTCGCAAGTCTCTGCCTACAGCCGTCAAGCAAGTCTTCTGGAGAATTTTCCTGTTCTACTTGGTCTCTTTGACTTTTGTCGGCCTTCTAGTTCCCTACGATGACAAGCGTCTGCTCAACGGCAGCAGCAGTGTTGACGCCAAGGCCAGTCCCTTCGTCATTGCCATCAGAAACGCCGGTATTGATGGTCTGCCTTCTGTGATGAACGCCGTCATTTTGATTTCTGTTCTCTCGGTCGGCAATTCCTCCATCTACGGCTCGTCGCGCACTCTCGCTGCGCTTGCCGACCAAGGCCAGGCACCCAAGATTCTTGGATATATTGATCGCAAGGGCCGTCCGATTATTTCAATTGCTATTGCCTCTGCTTTCGGTTTCCTTGCCTTCCTCGCTGGCTCCGACAAGCAGACCGACGCCTTCAACTGGATGCTGGCACTCTCTGGTCTCAGTTCCATCTTCACCTGGATCAGCATTTGCCTTGCTCACATCCGCTTCCGTAAGGCTTGGAAGGCCCAAGGCCACTCTCTCGATGAGCTGGCCTTCAGGTCACAACCCGGTGTCATTGGTTCTTGGGTCGGCCTCATCCTCAACTGTGTCGTTCTGATCGCACAGTTCTGGACCGGTTTCGCGCCTATTGGATACGCCGACATGACGACCAGCGAACAAGTCATGAACTTTTTCGAAGTGTACCTTGCTGCTCCTGTCGTCATCTTGTTCTACCTCCCCTACAAGTTATGGTACCGCACATCGGTTATTCGCAGCCACAACATGGACTTGCACACTGGCATCCGCGAACTCAATATCGCCGAGCTGGTTGCCGAGGAGAGGGCTGAGCAGGCTCAGTGGCCGCGATGGAAAAAGGTGTACAAGTGGTTCTGCTAGGCGCTTGCCACCTCTGGTTTTTTTTCCTTGTCCCGAACCTTACTCTTTGTACATAATAAACTCATTCGCATTTTTCTCAGCGCTGGCAAAAGGGGGAAAACGTCAACAAGGCATGGTATACGGTGTCTGTGAATGTTATATATAACGCAGGTGTCGGCGATTTTCTTTTGCGCTTTTACACATATAGAGATTAGACCGAAAATGCTTTTATCATACTATTTTCTTTTCACTGACTTCATCTGTGGTTTCTTTTTTTTTTTCTTCGGATGTGCGCAAGTCACGGGCTGCAAAACGCTGGCGGCTTGTGCTTTTCCTTGTTTCCAGGCATTTTCTACGAGATCAATGCTCTTGCCAATCAAAAGACCATAGGTACCTGCCTTAGAGACTCCTACGAGGCTGGAGTCATCTTTAACGTGGAGTACTCAATGGACTAAAGGGTCGAGCAACCGCGGTTGGTATCATGTAAGAAAAGGTACGGCCATAGAGAGCAGGTCACACTGATCTAATGGGTGTTGCTCTTTCATTCATCCAAGGAGAAGTTTGGATTCGAGAAATTAGCATTTGACCAGATTTTTTCGAGTTTTGATGATTATTTGTTTCGGATCCTGCAATAATTACTATGATTGATAGATGGCTTCTTTTTTCTAAGCCCATCCACCGCCTTTACCGCCAAAGCCACTGCTCTCTTCCACGGGCTTTCTATTGCCACCTCTCTGACTCTTCTGCTGCGCTGCCTCGTGCTTTCTCAATTCCTCTGGGACCCTCGAGATGGCACTCTTGCTCAGCATCTGCTTCAAATCATACAGAACATCATTGTCCTCCGATCCCAAGAAGGTAATCGCGACACCAGATTTTCCAGCACGACCGGTACGACCAACACGATGGGTGTAGGATTCAATGTTTGTGGCCATGTTGAAGTTGACAACCAGAGACACGTCGGGGACATCGATACCACGACCTGCCAAGTCGGTGGCGACGAGTACTTCTGTTTTGCCTTCGCGCACGGAGAGGAGTGCTGCTTCTCTCTGCTCTTGCGTTTTTGATCCGTGCAGGGTGACGGCTGAGTAGCCCATGCGTTGGATGTCTTTTGCCACGGCGTCGCAGTTGCGCTTGATGTTGACAAAGACAATGATGGGAGGTGTAAACTCCCTGCTCGAAAGGATTTCGCGGAGTCGGTTTTTGCGCTTGTCTTCGCCGGATACGAATTCCACGCGTTGCTCGACGGTGTCGACTGCCTCGCCGACATTTCCGATCGTCACGATTGCTGGGCGGCGGAGGTATTTCCTTGCGATGCGCTCGACGGCGGCGGGCATGGTGGCTGTGTACATCATTGTTTGGCGGTAGCGGCCTCGTTCGCCGACGTGCATTTGCATAGCTTGACTGTTCTCTGCTTCTTCCGTGTCTGGTTTTTCGTTGCCCACTGGAAGGGCGTCGAGGATTTTGTTGACGGGCTCTTCGAAACCCAGATCAATCATGCGATCGGCTTCGTCCATGATGATGTAGCAGCACTGTGAGAGGACAAGGACGCGGCGCTCGATACAGTCGACTAGACGACCAGGGGTGGCGATGATGATCTCAGCTCCGTTGCGCAAGTTGTAGGCTTGCTCTTCAATCGAGTGACCACCAACAATGGATACACAAGTGAAGCCTAGTGGTGTTGCAAACTTCTTTGCTTCGATCTCAATTTGTTGTGCCAGTTCACGAGTTGGTGCAAGGATGATGGCATAAGGACCGTCGTTCTTGGTAAGCTCGTTCAGAGCAGGCAGCTCGGAGATGTAGACGAGGAGAGGTAATAGGAAGGCGGCAGTCTTACCGGAACCAGTTACGGCAACACCGATCAGATCACGAGCCTGCAGAGCAACTGGGATAGCTGCTCGTTGAATAGGCGAGGGGTCCGTGTAGCCAACTTGGTCAATGACCTGCAATAGTCGCTTGGGCAAACCAGACTCTTGCCAGTAACGCATAGGATTTGGGATGGAGCCACCCTTTGTGCCAATGTTGAAGTCCTCCTTGAAGATACGCCAGTCTCGTTCGCGCATCTGGGTAAGTTCCTTCTCGCTCCAGTGCTTGTCGATGGCATTGCGACTCTCGTACGCCTTTTGTCGTTCCTTCATTTCCAGAATCTGCTGTGCTCGTTGCTTGCCAGTCTCGGGATCGCGCTCTTGGAGCAGTTTTGCGTACTTCTCGGCAGCCGTCTCGTCTCCATCTGCGTAACCACCCAGTCTTGCGGCAGGAGCAGCTCTGTCCTTGTATAGCGGGTCGGTATTCGCACTTGTGTCTTCTTCTGCGTTCCACTCAAAGTTGAACTTCTNTCTCGGTGGTTCGCTTGCGCTTCTTCTTTGCCGAGAAATTTGATTGGTTTTGTTCGGCTCCCATGTAGCGTTGGCGGATGGAGGCTTGGGCAGCTTCTTCCGCGGAGAGTTTCTTTGCAGTCTGGTTGCCGCTGATGATGGCGCTCTGCTTGGNNGAGGTGGTGGAGGAGCCATATCGTAGCCTCTGTTGTGTTGGTCCTTGTTTCTCCAGCCAGCTGGGCCTGAGGNGGGTTGGCCTCCTCGTTGACTCCTGGGACCAGTAGGGATAGCCGGGCGTCCGTCCATAGAGCGATGGTTGCCGGTGTTGATCTGAGCATGACTTCCGTTCGACTGTTGCTTTGAGAAAGTGTCGCGTTCGACCTCGGACCTCTTCTTCACGTCTGCCTCCTCTTTCTCACGCTTCTCTTGTGCTATCCTCTCGCGCTCGGCACGCGACAAGAACTTTGGCTTCGTAGCGGCTGCATCTGCGGCCTTCTTCCTTGCCAGGATCTCCTCGATATCCAGTGGTTGGCTCTTTGGTTTGACAGTACCCCATCCTTTCTTTTGCTTGTTTGAGGACACGATCGAGGGCCCGAGTTCTTCGTCGTTGATGTCTGGAGCTGGTGGTGGGGGCACATCGGCCACAGGCGGTGGTGGTGCGGCGACATATTCTGAGGGAGGCGGCGGCGGTGGGACGTCTGACGGAGGAGCTGGAGGAGGATCCATGACGAGTTGAGAGGAGTTGTGTGGAGACGAAAGCGTTGGCTGGAAAGAAGAAGAAGAAGATGAAGAAGAGTGAGCGATTCGCATGTGATCGAGAGTGCAGCCTGCCCGCAAAAGCTTCCGTCATCAGAAGCGCCCTCTCATCCGCTCCTTCCTCACACCACAAGACACCATGAGTGGCGCATTAGGTCTGGGAGGCTACTCGAGTAGCGATGATGAAGATGAGGCTGTCGCGCCCGTCTCTAGGTCGAATCAGGTACATTGCGCCTAGACAATCACGCGCAAAAGAACGGATGGCTGCTAATCAGACCGCATGCTAGGCCGTCGCAAACAAGACGATTGGAGAAGCTCTGCCTGAAGTCGTTCCATGCATGTCTTATATCGTACAATCATATATCTTACAAGCCACTGATTGTCTTACAGCAAACCCCCAACATGTCGCTCCCGTCATGATCGTTGAGAAGACGACCGAACCACAACAACCTCCTCCTATACCTGCCCCAGGACAACGTCCAGAACCTGCTCCAGGACAACGTCCAGAACCTGCTCCAGTCAGTCCAGCTCTTGGTCCCATCGCTGGCCCAGCCGCCGGACCCTCGCCTATGCCAGAGCCTAGTGCTTCCATGGCCTCGGCTGAAGACGAGGATGCCTCTGCTCCGCCATCGCCCTACACAGCCAACCGTCTTATACTTCGGGACCTCACCATGCCGCCCGTGCCAAACTTTCAAATACCACCCTCACCCCCAGGCTCGCCGCCCCCAGAGACAACAACCAAATTTGCAAGATTTCTCGACCTGAAGAAGAAGGGAACCCATTTCAATGAACGCCTGTACCACTCGTCGGCGTTGCGCAATCCTGGTCTCTTGCCCAAACTACTCGACTTTGCTGGCATCGGTCAGGAAGATCAGTATGCCACTCCATGGTCGCAGGGAGCAGTTGCGACAAAATTTCCGGATTGGGCGTACGGCGACAAGTTGGTCACCGCCCACGAGAAGATTGCAAAGAAGAAGGAACAGGAGAAGGCCAAGAACCCAAGAGAGACAGTGGATTTCGTGCCAGCAAAACAAGAAGCGGCGATATCGACGGCCGGACGAGTGGAGAGGAGAACACAGGGCAGAAGAGGACTAGGCTTCGACAATGAAAGAAGGCGATCTCGTTTGCCCAGATGAAGAGACGGATCACAGACCCCAGAATTTCTCGACTCTCATCTTGACTCCCTCCCAGCTGTTAAGCTTGGGACGGACATCGAGGTAGAAGTTGAGGGACTTGCCGGGCTTGCCCTCGTTCTTGCCGGCGTAAAAGTCAATGACATAGTCGATGTGGGTGCCGCAGCGGTCGACGATCCAGTCGTGTCTGTCAAAGGGCTTGGAGTAGCCCAGAATAGAGTTGAAGCGTGCTCGGGGAGTCAGCTCCTTGGACTGGCCCATGAAGGAAACGAGACGAGGACCACCGCANNTCTGTTAGACAAGTTAGCTCGAGCAACAAGGCCATGATTAGCGTAGATAGACTCACGCTTCAGAACCTCTGCCTTTCTCCCAGGCCTTGATCTCCTTCCAAGCCTGCTCATTGACGGCGTTGTGGATGGGCACAATGGTGCGCATGTCGGCGGCTTCGGGGTCGTAGTTCTTGCGCTTCATGGCGTTGAAGAACATTTCCTGGGACGGGTATACCCAGTTTCCACTCTTCTCGTCGACTCCAGACTCTTGCTCGTTGTTTGCGGGACTGTGTGTATTGACAGCGGCATCGTGGCCTTCGGCGGTTACGGCTCGGGGGATGGTCGAGATCTCGCGGAAAGTGTCGAGAGCACCGCGCTGCGCTGGCGACATCATGGCCAGATTCTTGGGCAGAATAGCCAGCCATGCGCCATGGTCGAGAGAGTAGCGAGTCTGGATAGGGATTTGGCTGAGGTCGTGGGGGATGTTGTTGGGTGTCGGCGGCGGCGGCGGAGGAGCTGGAGGTTCTTGTGCTTTGGCCTTCTTGGCCTGGTCCAGCCATGCCTGGCGAGTTTCGTGGTCGACTGGACACGCAGTAGCGTCGGCGGCTCCTCCTGCTGCAGACATGTTGAGTGTGTTTGTGGACTGTGAGACGATTGTCACATGTCGAAACAAAAAGTCCATGACCGAAGGGCGGAGCGCCAAGACTCCGCTCGGTCGAGCTCCATCGGGCGCGTCACTGCGCTGCGACCTCCAGCAGCTGCCAATAGCATACAATCAGCCATCACCCATCTAATCCTCATCACACCCGCCCTATCCACTCGACCCTTCTCGTCCGACACTCCGACCTCCTCTCGACACCCTCACAGCTCTCATCCTCACTCACAATGAACCACTTCCCTCACGGCTGGGGCAGAGTAAGCTCCGTCTCTTGCCATCCACCTGCCACTCTCATGCTGACTGCATGCCTANNGCCCAGAGATGATGTTTACGGCGCTTACGACTACTCGCACTTTGGCACTCAAGATCACTCGGGCCCCATCCAACATACTCAGTCGCCCATCGTCACCGGTACCTCGGTCATCGGTCTCAAGTACAAGGACGGCGTTGTCATCGCCGCCGACAACCTAGGTTAGCCCCTCTGATCATGATACCTCGCACACCGTCACATCTGACACTCCNNCTTAGCTTCATACGGTTCTCTTGCCCGCTTCACCGACGTCAAACGTCTGCGCGTCTTCAACAAGCAGTCCATCGTCGGCTTTGGTGGCGATGTGTCCGACATGCAATACCTCGACCGCCTCCTCGGCACCCTGAGCATCAACGAGAACTACCAATCATCCGACGATGTCACCCAGCTTTCGGCAAAGAACCTGCACACATATCTCAGCAAAGTCATGTACAAGCGCCGCTCCGACTTCAACCCCCTCTGGAACGCCATCCTCGTTGCAGGTCTCGACGACAAGAAGAAGCCCTTCCTGGCCAGCGTTGACCTTCTCGGCACCACCTTCAGCGCCCCGACACTTGCCACCGGTTTCGGTGCTCACCTCGCACAACCCATCCTTCGTCGCGCAGTGCCCGACGAGGAGGCAGCAGCCAAGTTGACCAAGGAAGAGGCTATCGAGACCATCAAGGAGTGTATGAAGGTTCTCTTCTACCGTGATGCAAGGAGTTTGGATCAATACAGCATTGCCGTCATTGACGGTCAATCAGGTGTTGACCTCAAGGAGTCGGAGAAGCTCGAGAACCAGAGCTGGGCATTTGCGGAAGGCATCAGAGGTTACGGAACCCAGACAGCATAAATGATGGAACTGCACGCGTGATTCGGCATCATGACATGAACGGCGTTTTTTTCTTTGAGCGCAGAAGGGGGTTAGGCTTTGCACACCATCAATGTATAACAACAATCCAAAGGGTTTCTGGCACGTCCGATCCTGCGAGATCCTCAGTTTGGAGCTTCCTTTCCACGATCTCACTTATGTGTTTTGCTGTTGAAGTCAAGCGAAACAATATATCTTTCTAGCATGCTTCGAGTCAAGGTCTATGATTTTGCAGTGTGGCCACGCAGAGTTTGTAATTGCGACTATCTCAATCTCGTGTCCTGAATCAAGTAGTAGTAGCTCAAGTACGTCTCGGCGATTCAGTCAAGGACGAGCATAACTCTAGCCCAGACACATCCATGTCATAGTTTTCTATAGCTACTCATGTGACAGATGTTGACGCCGAACTTCAGCCACCCAAACTGCCCCTTCCTCGCGAGCTACGAGTCATTTGCTGTTTCATGTGCGAACACCTGTTACAGACCTTCCATCCTTTCTAATAAACCGCCTTCTCGAAGCTCGACATGATGCTGCCGCCATTGAATCACCATGGTTGTGCGAGCGCGGTTTCTGAGTGAAACTATTTTTCGTCATTCCATTCTGAAGCTGCACTGGTCGACAATTCTATGTCATAGGAGACAGCACTTGTGACATGCGCTACACATGTCTTCTCTCTCTCAAGAAACCAGCCGAGAGTGTTCTGCCCCAGAGTCCTAGGAAGTGGGTTTGCAAGGCCGTCCACGTTTTCGGCAAGTACCTGAAACTGGCAACTGCAATCACGCCTAGTACTTGCTATTGTGCTGCCTCGATGATCGAAGAAGCTCATTCTAGTGTCAGACTTCTTGACATAAGCTTTTTGCCACTGTTGGTAGGCCTTATTTTGGTATCTCTGGTAGGCTTTGTTGCAAGATGATACTCGTGCGCGGCGGAGTTGACACGCACCTGAATATCCACCAAAGGCTCTTTTTTTCCCTCAGCCATGGTGGCTAGACAAATGACATATTCCCGGTGTGGAGGTTTCTTTTTCATATATTCTGTTTGCGTTGTCTTCCGTCCTATTCCTCTCAGAGCCTTCTGTGATCCAGCCACAACAAGACTTCAGCGACCATGAGCGATCCGACAATGATACCGGCGAGACCGCCGCCACCAGGCATAACCAGCAATTTGATTGACCCCGTCAGTACGGGAAACCAGCAGACGATATGCAATATCGTGTGTCTCATAATTGTCACCGCATTCGTGAGCATGAGGATATATACGCGTATCAAGCTGGTCAAATGTGTTAGTTGGGATGATTGTAAGTATTCCACCCTTTGTCACCACAACAGCCCTTTGCAGAGAAGATCTTGCTGACATGAAGCAGATCTTATCATTCTGGCAACCATGGTGTTCTACGCCGAGGTGGGACTGTTCCAGTACATTGTCAAAGTAGGNCTTGGTGTGTATACTCGTTTTCCACCCTTTAGTGCTCCTCTAATATGCCTACAGGGTAAACATCTATGGGATGTGAGTGCTGCAGAATTTGCGCCGACCTTTTTGGAAGTCTGGACTTTTGCTGCCATGATCTACTCTGTCTGCATGTTGCTCACCAAGATGTCTATCCTCCTGTTATATCGAAGGCTTTTTCCCATCGACAACTTCAGATACCTTTGGTGGATGTGCGCGTTCTGTACTGTGGGGTATGGTCTAGGAGCCATCTTCTCCAGTCTTTTCGCCTGTGTGCCTGTTAGAGCCAATTGGTAAGTCGTTGTGGTTGGACGCTAGTACGACGTATGCTGACTGCTGTCCACATAGNNGGACATGACAGTTGTTTCTACAAGATGCATTAATAAGCAAGCCTTCTATATCGGCAACGGCGTGATGAACATCATCAGTGAGTCTCATCGTTATCTTGTCATCCTTTCAAGTCACAGAAACTGACTGTCCTGATTCCATATAGCGGACCTGCTGATCTTGTGTCTACCTATACCAATCGTGTGGAGGTTGACTCTTGAGCTAAAACAGAAAATTGTTCTTAGTTTTGTCTTTACGCTAGGCTCAATGTATGTGGTTGCCCTGCTATTGTAGCCATCAATTCCGAACTTTTCTAACACGGTCTCTACAGTNTCTTGTGTCATCAGTCTGGTGCGTCTCATCAGCATCGTGACCTGGATACACGTAGGTGACGGCGACATCACCTATACACTCCAGCCCATCGTAGTCTGGTCGTAAGTCTAGCACTCCCTCGACCATTTCTCCTTGCAAACAAGACTAACTTATATTAGTGAGATCGAGCTAGCAGCTTGCATCCTCTGCGCCAATGCCCCCTGTCTCCGCCCCTTCTTCAAAGCCCACCTCCCCTTCCTCAGCATTCACACCCACAAATCCGCCTCTTCCAACGACAAAACAAACGCCCCCAGCGACTTTCCCACCACAATCGGAGGCAAACGCTCGCGAGCCATTTCACCATACCCTTACGACGACACAGACGGCATCTTCGACGGCACCCAAGACGTCGAACTCGAAAACTACGATGTCGAAATGAACGCAAAAGGATCCGCAGAAGGCGGACATGAGAAAAAANNGCACTCGTATGCTAAACATGGCTATAAGCCTTCTACAGGGAACATGACTATTGTTTCTGTGTCTTTGCAGAGTAGGAATGCGAGTAGGAGGGGTAGTATGTCTTCTTCTTCTTCAGACGACAGTGCTTCTCGCAAAGGTCCTAGTCGACAGCAGAGTTTGAAGAGTATTGGGGAAGAAAGAAGGGGCAGAAGGGCACAGCAAGAGGAAAGAGGTATTTTGGTGCATACGACTTATAATGTCCAGACTGCCAAAGAGGAGACTTGGGTATAACTACCGAGCTTCAAATAGCCCTTTTAATGTCTTTTTTGATGATTGCGGATAACATCACGTCCCCATAATGGATGGGAAGTGCAACTTTTAACAACCTTTATGTGATGTAAAAGATCAAAATGCCAGCTTTTGATTCTGCGTGATATCTTAGTAGTTCATAATTCTTCCACTTCAGACTCGCTTTTCTGCATCTAGCTGGTGCCAGAGCAGCCAACAAAGTCGTTTCCAGAGGCTCCGGTGTGGGTGACGGTGCCGGCCCATTGGCCTTTGGTGTTGAAAATGACTCTGTCGGCGCCAGGAGAGCCACCGGTAAAAGTACCGCTGGTCCTAGATATCAAGTTAATACCATCCGCACATGTTGAAGAAGTCCGAGAGTTTGCTTACTTCAGGGGGAACTCCTCGTAAGGGCCAGAAACGGAAAAGTCAAAGCCTTCGTAGTTGTTGTACTAGGTCTTGGTCAGCACCAAATTTATCAGCTGTGGATGTATACTGCCAACATACTTNNTGTGGGGGTACGAGTTGCTGCCGTAGGTGCGGCCGGCTTGGTAGTCGCCGTAGCCTGCCTTGACGGCAGCGCTGACCTGCGAGGCGCTGTAGGAAGTGCTACCGCAGGTGGTTGCTTGCTGACGGGCCTCGAGGTCGGTGGGGAGGGCGACGGAGGAGGCTGCGAACAGCACGGCAGTAGCGAAGATGGACTTGAAAAGCATTTTGTGCTTGATATATGTGTATACAAGATATGGTAGGAAGGGTAGGTAGGACAGCGAATGTAAGGTCTGAAACTCGAAGCGAATGGAGAGTTGTGATGAAGCTGATGCTTTGTTGCGATTGCAGAGACCAAGCTGGTATTTGACTTCGTACCTCTTGATGGAGGACCAATTATCCTGGACATCCAGATATCCGAAGGCCATGTGCCTCGTTCTCGCTATCTTATTGTCCATTGGTGAGAACAGCAGGGCACAAGAGTAACTTCCATCTTAGCGAGAGCGTGTGCTGCAAGAGGTTGATGATAGTCCATAGCGGTCGTTGTGCAGCAACAAGGTATTTCCCAATTCCCTCCAATCGCTGAGTTTAGTCGGGCATTCCATGCATGCAGCAGTGCACATCAAACCGGGAGGTCTCAGCAGCGGTAAGAAAGTTGGACCTTGGCATAAAGTGTCGTGCATACATGCCTTCCTACTTGAGTAAAACGCCCTGAATATCTGTTTTTGTTATAGCCGAGGCGCCCGAGGAGCGAGATGCAAAAGCCAAACAGCCAATGATCTACTGATAAGAAAGCACGTCTCGTGAGGCACAAGTCATGCTTCGGCCGAATAGAGATGGATGATTGGCAAAGGGAGAAAGGAGGAGAGGTTGTGATTTCTCCGCTTCCTCCTTGATGATCGACGAGGCACGGGCCGTCGTGTGTTGTGTTATCCTTGGCAGGCGGACGTCGCCTCTTGTGTCTTGTCTGTCAGCTTCTTACTCTATCAGCCAATGATAAGGACCATGTGGGAGTGCATATTGCTCAAGCTTTGGGATGCTCGGTAGTAAGATTCGAAGATCATATCGACTATCAATAAGGCTTGAAGTCCAAGGACGGGGCACGAGCATGGAGGGGTCACTTTCTCGAAACACTCATCCGCCGGTCATCGTTCGTCATAGTTAGGTAGGTTCGAAAGGAGGCAAGGGCGAGGTAACAGGAAGTCGCGAGGAACAGACACATCTCCTCTTCTTCATCTCACTTTTATGCTGCTACGCTTTCTGAGGCCTCTCACTGCCCTTTCACATTCTATCTCATCACAACCACAAAAGTCTCTCTTGCATTCTACGAACAAAAGCATGGACATCTCACCCAAAATCACCGAGTGCGAGGAGTACAAGATTCTCTCCTCACACCTAGCCAATCCAGAGAAGACGGACGCTACATTGGATCAACTCACAACATGCGCAAAGTCTTCGCTCTCCAACGACAAGCTCGAATCCCACCTCCGCGAATTGTGGACCAGCATTCTCCATCTCTCCTCTCAACAATCTCACACCTCGAAAGAACAAGACTCGCTTGTTAAGCTGCTCCAAGCCTTGATCACAGATGCTCCTTCGCTCAAAAACACAAACAACAAGGAAGTCGAGGTAGACGGCAGCAAAGTCTGGCAGGGCCTCCCTCTCTTCGGTCAACAAGCCCGCGAATGCTGGAACTTCCCCAACGACAAAGAGGTGGACACAAAGACCAGGGAGGCATGGATCAACGTCAACGCATTTGTTGCACGTTTGACTGCTGCGGCTGTCAATGAGCATGGTGGTGAGAGACCAGGATACAATGCTCTCGACTACTCCCTCTACGGCATCTGGAGTTTGAGAAGCGCGCTCGAGGAAGAGACAGAGAATTTGCCCGGCAAGACTACCATTGATGCTTCTATTGGTGCTGCGGCAGCATGGATACTTTATGCTGGTCGCACGCTCAAGGGTCTCTCGGACAGTGACAAGACTTATAGTGGCAAGGTCGCAAAACCCGGCTTCAAGTGTAAGGATCAGGATTGGAGAGGCTACAACAAGGATAGATGGCAACTGTGGACAAAAGAGCTCGCCGAGTCAAAGAATCTCGTGCAGGATGATGGTATTCAGGACCTTGTAAAACAAGCCTTGGAAACCATGGAGCAATAAACAGATGATTCGAGGCAGGGGGTTGGGAATGTGATAGAAGTAAACCTACAGACACAAAGATGCAATGGCTGCCGAGTACATCGTGCTTCGCCTTGGCCGTGTCACACTGCATGTTCTTCAAAAAGTGTGTAGTCTGATCTACTGGTCTCTTCGTTGTGTTGCTTTTCACAAGGACTGGCTCACAGCTATGGGTGGCTTGGATGGCTCGAAGCTACCTCGGCGTACTGAACGTTCTATTCGCGATTCTGATGCGAACATTCGGGCCAGATATCTTGGCCATGTCCCAGCGGTCAGCTTCCAAAGCCATCGTTCTCAACATCCGTCGCATGAATCCGAACGATGGTCAAACTCAGAGAATCAATCAACACCACTCGACAGCCAACAAAACGAAAACCGAGCATGCATACAAAGAGTCATCATTGCTTCCGAGCAAAACNATGATTGCAAGAGCAAAACGTACAGCAGCAGGGATTCCCACGTGGTCACCCACCGTAGTACTAATCTGCCGTTCAACTGCTTATGTATGGCAGAGCGGACGGGATGCCCAGTTTTCAGCTGACTGTGGCCGTACGTGCATGGAACGCTAGATACTATGAATATAATCAAAAGAACCGATGCCCAGCTGCTGCATGCAAAATGATGTCGCTGCTGCGTCGACGCTTTCCGTCCCAATTCTATTTGAACAACCATCAACAGTGTCCGCTCCACAAAGCACACAACAAACATGGCTCCATCAAGTCCTCACAGCGAAATGAGGAACAGTGTCTCCTGCACAATGCGTTCCAAATGCGCTCCAGGGGAAAACATACTAGCAGCAAAATATTTGCTATGACATGCGACGCGGTCTAGAAAGCGTCTGCCAAAATACTGACACCTCTGGAGCCCGCACCCACCCGACGCGTTACCTGTCTGGTGATATTATTTGCAAAACCTCGCTTGCTAGTTCTTCCTGTCTGGACTCAGTCGAGCCGAAACGTTTGACATGCGTGTTTCTCGCCATTTCTTGCCGTACAGTACAAAGCCTCATGCCGATCAACGTCGCCGTTGCAGGATTCGTCAATGAAGTCCAGAACAGCAACAACTTCACCCTGTTCCTGAAATGTCATACCTAGAAGAGTTACGATGTACGAAGATCTGCTCTTTAGGATACACGTGCTCGACCAGTATCAACAACTGACCACATATGGAGAGGTATCACAGGCTGTCACCCCACGGAATTTATATGTCTCCAATCAACGGCCTCTCTCATAGGGATTGGCCGCAATCTTTGTTTATTCCTCTGGCAGCAGAACCCGATCCCGAGGAGAACTCCATCGGTTGGGCTGGTATCAACAAAACGTCTCGGTTGTTCATTCTCCTTTCTAGACACATATTGAGTGTCAAATAGGACACGTCCTTGGGTACAGTTTCTGATACTAGACACCTGTGTCTCTAACAAAATATGCTGGTCCGCGCCCCATGATCCGGCTCTCGCCTCAGTCGGCTCGTCCATATAGACGCTGCTGGTCTCAAAGACGAAGGATTCCATGTGGATCTTCACTGAGAGTTCCGGTTTAGTCGACAATACAGAAGGATTCGGTCGTACACACCGCATGAGTTGGGCCGGATGTACACGAGATTTGAATACACTCGGAAGACTGGATCAAGTCTGGAGACTCCTGTGCATCATCTGGTTTCTGACAGATTTTCAGATCACTTGTGTCATCACGAATAAAACGTGGACACAATCTGTACAGGAGCACCCATTGACAGCAAAGGTATATGTTGTCAGATTCCGATGTCTCCACCCTACCAATCGTGTACTTGATGGTCAAATAACGCCACCATTCAATGTCTCTAAATCAGGCTGAACAAGCTGTATATATTGAAAGCCTCATGAACGATTCAAGGGGGCTGGCGGACCCTCATGCCGAAAAGAGCTTATGCTTCGTATGAACAGATGATACCGATTTGACCTCACCAAAGCAAGTGCATCAGCCAACTGGTCCATGATTTGGTCACGAAAGGCCCAATTTATGGCGAGATACACCATAAGAGGAAGTAGTGCCCATGTGGAAGACCAAACATCTGACCTTTTGCATTCAGACAAGTCTGCAGCAAGCAGTGGTAATGAAAACAACTGCAGCGTCTCATTCTCAAACCAGTTCGTGCAATCAACTAGATAGCTTACGTCTCTAGGAACGGACCGTCTGAAGAGCACACGAGGTGAGTGGAAGCGACTGAAGCATGCGCGACGTTTCTGATATTGAGCATTGAGAGACAAGTACCGTTCGAATCGCAGCAACAGGTCACAACAAAGGAGTCGAGATGGTCCTCCAACGGCACTCGGTAAGGGCACGATTCTGGTAGGAAGCTCCGGGTCCTATTCAGGACACATGGTCCTCGAAGTCACAGGTTTAAGCGGGTTCGCGAGGTGACTTGGCCTCATTCGAGGCCAGTTGCAAGTCCAAACGGTTCTATAATTAATGACGTACAAACAATCATGCCTTCTTCCAAGACCGCCGAAGGCGGTGGTCGCCGCCTCGGAGCCGTTGCTCCAAATTGCCAAGCTTTTCCTCCTAAGTTTCCACGTGAGGAACACGAGCTTCCATTGTCAACCTCAGGTTATGCTTTAAACAGCATTCAACTCGTGTACAGCACTGTCCTCACATCCACTCGACTTGAACATCCATGGTGAGGTGGATTTGTACACACCGGAGGCAGCGGCTAAATATGCTCGCCGTTTTGACAGGCTGCGTGATGAGGAGAGCACAAGCAACATCGCCACCCTGGAGCGTTAGAAAGCCATGAGCCGCTGTGAGGCGCCGTGAGGCGCTGGCAGAGCCCTGACAGAAGCACACGCGCAAACATGACCTCCAAGACGCCTCACCTTGTTTTCCAGCTGAACAATTATGCTTGTTTTCATCCTAGAAATCTCAATGCCGGAGACTACGCTCTGTGTTGCTCTTCTGAAGGACCATGAACTCCACTGCTTGTCCGCGAGCCGTTGAGTTGTCCTTTCCTGTCCTGCCGGGCGTTGGCTCTGATTTCTGCAGGATAGGGCGAGAATCTGAGTTCCGCTCTCTCT